AAAACAAAGATAAATCATATTAAAAAATATATGATGAAGAACCCTAATAAAAAAAGATTTCAGTTATGTCTATCCTAGGAAAAGAAACAAACTAATGATCTAATGAAAAGCCAATAAAAAGGCTGGTTGGAGATTACGATGATCTTAGCTTTAACAGTACGACTCAACTGCTTAATCAATACTTAATTAATATTCAATCTTCACCTTGTTAAGTGTAAACCTATGCTTGATCTTCATATCTGATTCTCTAGCATCTTTTCGATGAGATTTTGTCAACTGTCTTCCTAATCCAAAGCCCACTGGGGCCTCCTCATCTTCCACCTTGTCTTCTGTTGACATGATGTAGGTAGATCTACTCTGCATGGATGCCACACTGGCATTTTTTACATTTTCCCCTTCAAAGGCAGGATTATCCACAGTAAAAGTTCCAGTGCTGCCATTGCTATTTTGCTTACTTTCTATGGTAAAAGTCCCAGTGCTTTCACCTGTACCATGTCTTGCATGCTTTCTTTTGGTTTTTCTTTTCTTGTGTTTTTCCTTCCCTTCATCTACAGATTGCAGGTTTTGTGCCTCACCTCTCTGTGCATGACTCTTGCCATGTGGATGCTTGTGCTTCACATGTTTTGTACTAGAGGACAGAGGTGTTTTACCCAACAGAGGTTCAGTGCCTTTAGATATACGGAATGTACTGTTTAGTGGAATGTCTTGACCAGCACTGACCCCACCAGTGAAAGTGGCACCTAAAATATATAATCACAACAGAAAAACTAAACATAAGCTAAATTATCATTATTTAAAGCTTACTAAACTTCAAAAACTTCAAACTAGATTCTTTATGATAACAAAACATGCAAACAATATCAGGATCACAAAAAATGATTTGTTGAAGATTTTCCTATTCGGCGACTGTCAACAATAATAGCTGTAAACCAATGGCTCAACAACTTTTTCGCTCACAAAACAGACAATCAGAGAGCTAGGTAACCAACTATTAGAAATTTAGATGGGCAGACAGCAAAATGGACAGACAGTAAAACAGACATACAGTAACAATACAGCAATACAGAGATATTTAATCATTAAGTGTTGTTCTTGGTTATCAAATGTGATTTATAATCTGATTGCTTTGATTTATGGTACAAAAATGTAAAAAGATAATAAAAATATTATTTATCATAACAGAAAAACTAAAAATTAACTCTTTACTAAGCAGACTGATTTCATAGTTACCTTCATTTGGCACTGGTTTTGGTATTTTGCTGGGAGATTTTGATCGAGGTCTAGGTTCAAGTGAAGGAAGTCTTCGACTGTTTCCAATTTGTCTGTGAGGTGGATCAGCATTGATAGGTATGGTGAATGAAGTGCCCCCTGGTGTGGCTTTGGGAGTGAAATATTCCTCATCAGAAGACATCTTGGTATGGAGCTCTAATTTAAAATATAAGGTGACATTTCGGTATCATTTTGATCAAATATTCAGTTTTTTTTAGCTAATTAACTGAGTACAAAGCAATGAATAGATTAAATTTTAAGGATGACTGTTTACCTTGATGATGTGTTATTTTGCTTTCATAAAACATATCTACACTTATAAACTAATATAGGAAAATAGGAAAATTGCTAGCTCTCTTTCTTTAAAAAATCTCCTTAATAAGTGTCAGAAATGCGCATCTTTCTGTTCAGTATAACTATAAGCCTGCCCACTTATCCTGATATCACTAATGAACAGAAAAACTAATGAAGACTGTGATACTAGTACAGTCCTGTAAATAAGCAGCATCCATATAGCTATTAATATGGTTAGTTAGACTTTGACAAATAATTTTCAAATTATTGGACAGTGGCATTACCTGCAATATCTCTTAATCACTATGTAAATAAATATTAAAAACTCTGGTTTATAATTTTTTAAAAAGCTGAAATTTTATATAAATTTTAAATTTTAAATAAATTTTAAAGTCAATTTTTTTTCACCAAAATGTTACAAATTTGTTATAAAATTGAAAAAAAATGGTTGTATACCCTGTGAGCTTGGTTCATAATATTAACTGCTACATGTAGCTACTCACTGATTGATTAACTTGTCTCTTCAGCTGCTGTGTATGACATTCACAATGCATCTCATTACATTTCTGTTAGTACATGTAGGTTCAACTATGCTGCATAGCACAATCAATATCAATATGATAAATGTCACGTGGGTATATTCCTTATCACTGACAATATCAGTATGATATTTAAGTACAGTTCATTGTTTTCTACTATATAAATAAATTTCATAAAACCTGTTACTAATGATGGCATATGGTATCTTATCAATTCACACTATAATCATCAAAGCTACTTAATTTGGTAAGTCCCAGTTACAATTAATTTAAACATTTATTTACATATTCCTTTGCACATGGGATAATATGCATTAATTGTTGATAACATCATGAAAGTTAAATCGACAACTGTCACTTGCTGAGTAATGTGCCTATATACCCTGTTTTGCAACAAAGAAATAAATTGTTTGTCTTGTACATTTTAATGCAATGTGTTACACGTCGTCGCCACAGACGACATACTGCGTCGTGTGCGGCCGATGATGTGGCTCAAGCGTGGAAGCCGTGACGCTCTCAGCGTCTTTTGATGTTGTAGTTTTGTTTTTTTGTTTTTGTTTGATGTTCTGTGAGCGGGTTTATTCTGTTATGAAGTAAGTGTAATTCGCAATATTAGACGTTCTTGTAGCTTCTTAATTCTCTACTACTATGTGATTACTTATTTATGTTATTACTTCTCTTCATTCAATAACCCTATAAATAGAACTCTATTTAACTCATCTTCTTTATGTAAGTGCATTATAAAAGGCTAGTCAGAGTCTGAGTACAGGGAACTAACAGTAACTGTTCTTCTTTTCATTAGAGCACAGCACATCCACAGGGTTCTCTGGAAGCCTTATTTTTATTCTTAATAATCTTACTTTTATTTCCAAGAATAAATTCATCTTAAATCTGTTTTATCCCGCTTACACCTACAATATATATTGCACGAGAATAGTAAAAACACTAAAAACATTCATTGAAGTTGGAGAGTCTAATAATACTCAACCTACTGGTAATTAAATACTTGGACAATTTACATGACCGGTATATAAAACGATTGCAGGAAAAAATTTAGTCTAATAAAAGCCAATGGCAAACTGATCCAATTAATATATGCTACCATGTAAGTTTGGGTTGTGGCTCTTTTTTTTCTTGACACTTTTTGGGCTGTGCCTGGCGTATAAAGTGGACAACTGGTTGTTTAAATTAAATATAATATATAAATAGAGATCGTTTTGTAACTTTTATAATCGATGCTGTTAACATTTCCATACTACTTAGCTAGCCCAATGAATGGTTAAATCTGTATTAATTACTATGAGAGATTTGCGATGTACTGTAAGTCGTGCATGGGCTGTATCACTATTTTATACTTATTAATTTTATATTCATTATTCCCACTTTTACATTTACCACATACAATAGTTTCTAGCACAAACTCATATAAAAATAATAAATTATTTAAATTGTGCTAATTTTAATTTTAAAAAACTAGAATGTGTAAGGGGTAGCGAAAGAAGGTATTTATATTTTTCTAAAGCTTAACGCCTCCAAACCATATAATTTTTTTCATTTAAATGGATTTTGCCCACAAAATAAAATCTAATGATATATCTTTATCTTCTTCTATGAAACAAACATAACGCTACGAGTTCAATTTACATACCACAGCGAGCACCGCTTAGTTGTTTACAATGCTGCCATTCGTATCACAGGAAGTTAGCCGAGTCAGGAATTTGGCGCTTATATCATTTTAAAAACACGGCTTAGAAAAACAAATCCTTAATAATCATTTTATATTACTACTTTCAAATGCAATTTATCGTTATCAAATATTTTAAATTATATACAGCACTTATTTTCTGAAGAGATAAATGCAGTGAAAATATGATCAAATTGATAGAGGATAAGTAGATAAGAAGTAGATAAATTTTAGTGCCATCTAGCGTCATTACTTAAAACTAGTGCAGCTAATGGCAATTTTTCATAACTTGACACATTCAACATGTAAAAATAAATCAGGCCCGTAGCCGGGGGGAGGGGGGGGGGAGGGGGGTTCGAAAGAACCGCCCCTTTTGTCAGGAAAAGGTCCATTTTGGGTNTATAGTGAACATTCGGACCAATGAACCTTCGGACTATTGAACCTTCGGACTATCGCTACGGCCCCGAATTTCCTGGCTACGGGCCTGTAAATGGAATAAAAAAATTAACGTAATTAAAACCAGAAAATGTTAAATGATTCCTTGTAGGCTTTTTAAATTTAACACATTTAAACAATTAAAAAAGGTTTTTACGTTTTCACTTATGATAAAACGTACAAAACGTAATCAAGCTACTGTACTCTGTGGAAAATAATTAAGAGCATTTTTTTATTGAAACTATTTGGAAATTTGGAAATCGTGCAATTTTTATCAGCTATGAGAAAAATATAATAGTATTGTTTTGTACAAACATGGTAATGGCCTTCACGTGAAGTCTAAGACAGCATAAGTTATCCCGGGGGCGTCTCGATAGTCCGAAGGTTCATTGGTCCGAAGGTTCATTGGTTCGAAAAGTGGTAACATTTTCATCGATTTTTTAATCAAGGGTTCATTGGTCGGAAGATTCTATAGTGAATATTCGGACCAATGAACCTTCGGACTATTGAACCTTCGGACTATTGTTACGGTCCCAGTTATCCCAGCTCCTTCCTCCACACGCAGACAAAATCTCTTGGAAGTATACACTCTTTTTTAAAAATGTGAAGACACTTCAAGTTTTACAGTGGCAAAAACTTTAATAAAATTGGTTTTCATTTTACTTATGTATTGTTTCTTACTGCATTACACTTCTTGAAGATGGAATTTTTTCTGACAAAAGATGGCCTTCTAGGTTTTTCTTTTCCTGCAATTAACTTTTTTTCATATTATGACATTCATTTTATTTCAATCAAACAGTTTATTGATAAACTGCAATAATCTTACAAAACATGAACAATAACAACAATGGAAATAAAATTGTTGAGGAAAACACTGATAGTTACCACAATAAAGAGAGCACAAACAGTTTATACTAAACTGAGCTTTTCTACCAATTAATAACCATAATATATCAACTTGAAAAGCATAATATTGACCTTGCAAAAATCTGAAATTTACCTTGTTAACAAAAAGCTTAAAAGAAAATAAAAATGAAAATATATGACAAAGCCAGAGGCCACGGAGGCACTTCCCTAGAAATTATTTTACTGACAAGGCTGGCACCAGGTCAAAGTTTTGACTGCCCTAGCAAGGAATGGAATGTCACATCATTTTCCAAACTTTGACTATAAGTTTTCTCCCATCAAGCAAAATAATCATAACTGAAACTATATAACAAAAATAGGTAAGAATTCCAAAGGCTTTTCCCACTTAAAAGAGCATTTTAAATGTCTCAAAAAACAACTACTATAATGTGCCATTGCTAACATTTACTGTAACATAATAACCATTTGTCCCAATGCTTCAATTGTCCTTATATAGACTGAGTGTATATATTATGATAAATATACCAGTCTCTTGAATATTACGCTTCCCTAATTGTAGACCCCTTTACGCTTAATATATCAAGGTGAATATTTTTACACCCTCTTTGGATTTTTTTCATCTAAAAGCACTAATAATTTATGTTTTCTTTTTCAATTTCTGATGTGTTTAAAAACATAAGAAAAACTAGATGGAAGACCATATACAACCACTAAAGCATTAGACCATTGCAAATACATAAACACCACCTTATTCTGTATTTTTGTTAACAGCCAATCACTGTGGCTATCAATGATGCAAATTTCACTTATGACAAATTAGGCAATCTCTTTTCTAATCAAACAATAATTTATAAATCAAACAGCCAATTACAACAGGTCTACCCTTCTTTAATTAAGGCTATTTGCAACATAAAGAAATACAACTGAATTAATTTAAGCACTTGTTTGTGCAAAAAATATAGTCCAACTTTTTAGCAAAGAATATTTTGAATCATTTATCACATCTGAATAGCATACAAAATATATACAACTGAGCATAGAGCACCATTATCTTTTTTCCTTCATTCCATGGAGTTTGTTTTCACTCTTTCAGATGACATCTCATATGATTCTTGTAAATTTTCAAAACGCCATCAATAAAACAAGTGAACTGGTATGCAGCTTACAAATATAACCTGTTTCTTAAAAAAGTACACTATTAAAGCTAAAACTGAATGTTTACCTTCTCTTTTATCTGGTGGTAAAATAGCTTGAATGTACGAAAATAAAAATGTACAAAATTTACATTATCTACCAGTACTTAGTATATAAAATGTTAGACATATAGATTTTTATGTGCAACTTAATCTTATTTAATACATACATTCAATATTGGCAGCATCAACACTATTGGGAAACTTGTACAAAATCTGCTCATTTTATTTTTAAATAAGATGTGCACATTTTATCAAAAAAATACACCTGTTAGGGAAGAAAGGCATTATTGTAAATAAGATTTTTAAAAATAACACATATCGTTGCTGATACAAAGGCATTTACACTTATACAGCAACTTACATCACCAACAGCAGCAATTCTGAAATACTAATAGCTAATCATTATTTTGGATAAATGAGAGTTTTTTATAAAAATATCATTATGTAAATGAACATTAAAGCAAGTTACCTTAAACAGTACAATGACTTACACATCAGACATCCAACTTTTTTTAACATCAGTTATGGCTAGGCCCTCATTCATTCAGCATTTTCAAGCAGAATTTATAGTGTATTACAACAAACCAGACAATCTAATAAACATTATTATCTCCCTATACTTAAAAAGACAGGAACACATTTTATGAATATCTCAGCCACATGCTTTGTTTAACATGCTATAAATGACACACTGAAATTATCTTGCAAAGACTCCGGGCTTTTTTATTTCTTTTCCTCAGCTTGAGCAGTCATGCTATCTCTAATATATCCTGCCACCATAAGAGGAATTACCAAGTCATCCATGTTAGGAAGAACAAATACTCTCTAAAAAAAAGGTATTTTTCAAAATCTTAAATAATGAATAATTTGAGCTGTACCACTAATTATTTACTTATTTTTAGGTTGTGATATGAATATTTACCATCTACAAAAAAGAACAGATTCCAATTTTCTTTTACTTTCAATCAGCTTTTCATAGGGTTGTTTTCAATCAACAACTATAAAAACATCACCCTATGTGTTGTGCTGTGTATGTGTGTGCACAAATGCATGCAGGTATGTTTTCTCTTATTATTGAGTGTCATTGTAAACTCTTACCTGGAATTCTAATGCCAATTTCTTTTCTATCCATTCAGTCACATGGGTATAACTGACCTCTCTCTCACCCACACGAGGTTTTGCAGTTAGCCAAAGTCGAGGATTTGTTCTGAACCCATACCTGATAAGAAATGTGACATGGCGTACATCTTTGAACGTATTTACAATTGCCAAGAATTACCATATAAACTATACAAGGGGCAAAATCAAAGACCATCTATTTAACCTAAGATTTAAAACACTGCATACATATACAGCAATGAAATATGGTTACAGTGTGATTTATGTACAAAATGCACTGTGTGAATTTTTTTATATAAATGAAACAGTGATACCAGGTTATTAATATTTCTTACCACAGTCTATCAGTTGGTGGTGGTGGAATGTTTACAGACAATGTTCCCACCAAACTTTTCAGTTCCACAGTGAGTATCAGGGGAGTATTAGAGACTCCCTCCATAGCTTTCTTGATGTATTTGTACTCTGTGGCTTGCTGGAAATACTTAGACTCTGTGATCTTGTCAAGGAAAGCCAGCAACTTTCTGCCCTTAGTTTGGCCCTGGGAATGCTTGGGACTGAAAGAAGAAAAATTGCAACATGCCCCTTCTTATTATGTCTGATTTTCATGTCATTTTAAAAAGTAAATGTACATCAAGCTACAGCCTAACTCAAAATATTATGGGCACACTCTGATAAACACTTCATTACAGGTTAAAAATGGCTTAAGTTACTTAGAAACCATTACAAGGAAAATATTAATGAGAAATGTGTTGCTTTGACGGAGGTTTGCACTCTCCGACTGCTCTTCTAGTTTACATATATGTATAATTTATATAATGGTTTCTAGATCTGATTTCAGTGCTAATAAGATAATCTTTAATTTAAAAAGCACAAGTGGAGCATGCACATGTGGGGCATGCAGCAGAGACAATGCACAAATGACTGAGCTCCACAAAGAAGCCCCAGACAAGAAAGAAGTCTAAACCATTTCTTCCAACCTCTGATCAACTGAAGGATCTACAAATGTTTCTTCATCTTCTTCATCAGTGGATGACTCAGCACTGTCTTCTTCATCCTCGTCTGTTATAGCTGATCTAGAAATAATTTCAAAGTATATACACTCAGTGTGTTGACAAGTGGTGTACAGTGAATTTCAAACAAGGTTAATACTCAGTACATCTTTCCATATGTTATAAGTAATAACCAATATTAATCAACAGCTTACTTTTTTCTCTGCCTCCCCTCATCTGCCTCCTTGTTGACGTGTTTCTTTTTCTTTAGTTTCATCAAATTGACCTTAGTTTCTAAAGTCATTCTGAAGTCTCCATTGTAAGCAATGTCTAAATCTATCCATAATCCCCGCTCGTCCAGGTAAGGTTTACTGGCCCGGCGTATCACAGGCATTTCAGTACCAAGCTCTATGTCAGAGATCACAAGAGCATCAATAAAATATGGAACCTGAAATTGATAAAGAAAACATTACTGTAACAGCTAATGTATATATATATATATATATATGCCTCTCCATACATCCTTCTGAATTTTCTTCCCTTTCAATGTAAGCATATATATGTGTGTGTGTGTGTGTGTGTGTGTGTGTGTGTGTGTGTGCAAAGGTGGGGAGAGGGGGTTCTTCAATTCTCTTTCAATTCAGAATTTCAACTGTAAAAAAAAGTGTCAAATAAGAAAATAAGAAACAAACTTCTTAACAAATATTCTGAAACATAAAGTCCTCAAAACCTGCTAATCTCATTAAACAGTATTCTTATGAACTCTCTTCTCCAATCAAATTTGTAAAACTACCTAAAACCCTTTCAATATTTGAACTCCAAAATTTTGTCTTGAGTATAAAAATACCATGTGCAGCACGTGATCATCATCAAATAAAAATAATATCCAATTTCACCAGCACTTGGACATTGAAGTGCAGTATACATCACTTTAATGGAAGACCAATGGGCAATTTGTGTCATACATTAAATAGGCACTACCTAGGCATATTACACTATAACTGCATAATGGGAAACTTCAACAGACACAAGCTCTAATGCATAAACGATGTGCATTGTTTTCCATTCTTCTGCAGGCATCTGAGCTAGGATAATGCAGTATGGCAAATATCTGACTGTAACAGTTAATGTGGTAGTTTGATGTAAAACTACAATAAATGCTGCAGTGACTTACGTGAATTTTATCCAATTTCTTCTGAATTTTCTCTGCACATTTGTCTGCCCAATATTTCTCTCGCAAGAAATCCCAAAATAACCGTCCAATCAAAGCATTCACCCACAGAACTTGAGGTTCACAAGCTATATGTTTTCCAGGAGCATTTAATTCTATTGATTTTTTTCCTGGACTTCCAGGTGCTGGCTTTTTGTCATTCTCCATACCAAGACTATTATTAGAACTAGAACCACTAAGTTTTCGAAGCTCATCTTCTTTGGGCATTATTCTTCCCATATACCTAAATTAAAAAAAAAATGCTCTTGTTCAGGCAAATCCGTTTACATGCAGTTTTAAATATATATAACGTACTAAAGTACTGTAAGAAGTTACAACTTATCCTGTTTTAATATAATATTTTACCAACGGTAAACCATAAAGCCTTCTTTCTTAGCAGCATAATAAGATTCGGCAAAAAAAAAAAAAAAATCCAGTAAAGGATACCATAACTAGTAATTTGAACAATTACCCTGCATAACCTAGCAGTATCCTCCTCAGAGGCTCCTCACCATCCTCCTCTGAACTCCAGGACTTGGTGGAATCAGTGGACCCCTCCCTCTTGTGGGACTTGAGTGAACTATAGGAACTTGAACGTTTGTGAAGAAACTTGGCCTCTTTCAACAACTGTTCCAGTTTATAGTCTGAAAGAGGTGTGCCTTTGGTGGCAGCATCAAACCTCCAATACCATTCCTCTTTCTCTCTCCCTGACCTTGCAAACAGGTATAACACACTGTCATCACAAGCCTCTTTTGTGACAACTTCAAAACCTGACCCCTTGGCGTCATAGGGATCCTCAGTTGAGCTTTGAGGGGACATCTGCTTGCTTAAAGCATCCCCCGCTTTAGATAATTTGATACACAATGGGTATTTTTTACTCCATACTCTTTTCTTGACAAGCCCTTGGGGAAGCAGGAAGACGCGGGAATCGGTCAAGTCGTAAATTCTTTGATGTATAAATTTCGAAGTGTGGTGAGGTTCATCCCACATGGCACGTTTTGGCACGTTCTTCAAAGGACGAGATAATCGCAGGGTTGAGCCTTCTAATCGGACGTAAATAGAGAATGTTTGGCTAATGTGGTAGTCTTCTGGATCATAGGGGTACTGAAGCTCATTCATCCAACCCTAAGAGAGATAAAGGTGAAGTATTATAGAATATGATAAAAATTAGTCTCATATTCTTGCTCATTTTAGTTAATATTAATAGGGTAAAGATAATTTCACAATAATAGGACAAAATATTCAAAGATTGCACCAAATAACTTAAAGTTGAATGCTTTAACTTTATATTAGTTTGTATAGGGCAATGACTTCATAATTCTATTCTTTGATTTCAATAGAATAGCTCAGGTATTATAATTATATAAAATTTAGTTTCATAACAGATGTTTTCTTTCCTTGGTCATAATGGCAAAAATTATTGTCTTGTTATATGCCACAGTTAATAAGTCAGTGCCATTAAATGCATTGTTAATGGAATAAATGAACACAACAGCTATATCTGTTAGGGAATCAGTAATGAAATGTCACTTCCATTTGGATTCAGTACACAATGCATGATTCTTATGTCTGACAAATTGCCAATTCTATCTAGCTATGACTGCTAAACTGTTCTATCTATTACAACCTTCACTTTGTTGGTATCCAGCACAATCTTGATACAAAAATTAATTATCTCCTGGATGAAGATTTTGATATTCATTGCTTCCCTGGGGCAGTTAAATGTATAGATTTAATAGTAATTACTTGATTAATGACATCCAATAACAAAAGGTGCTAAATCACTGCTGGTAATAGAAGTTATGCCATATCTATAGATTAGAAAGTTTCCCAACAACCTAAGTATTGATTTACTCACTCATTTCCTGGAAATACTTAGACTTAATACATCTTATTGCCTTGCTGCCATGAAAAAGGATCCAATTCAAACCCCCATTTTACTAATGTGCCTATTTATAATGTTCCAATTGTAATGTTTTTCCCTTTAACCTGGATGGGTATAATGTCACGTTCTCAAAGTTGCAATTACACAACTGTATTTACATAGCTGATTTCTGCAATTTAGACAGTCTCAGGAAGAAACTGTTGCTTACAATCAAAAACAATATCACAATACTCCTTAAATATAAAAGGAATCGGATTCAGCAAAATGAGCTTACATCATGTATGAGTCTATAAATAGAAAAAAGTATTCATGAGCTTTCAATCTGGATGTAAAAGAGAATTTTTGAGCAAAAATGAATTAATTCATCTAATCATTATAATTTTCAATCAAAGTGTAAGGTCAACCCAAGAATGTTTTTAAAGAGTGTCCCACTCATGAGATGCTATCACTAAATAAACATTTTTTTACATTTACATTCTTTTGTCAGTAGAGAGGAACCGATTTTCATACCAATCCTCTCTTTCATGAATCATACAAATGGTCTAGTAAATAATTTTTTCAAGACTAATTGTGGTCCCACTATTCAACTTAACTGCAGTTGTTCAGCCAGAAACACATAGAGAAAAAAAATCTCATTATCTTTTTTTTTACTAACAAATTCAATCTTCTATGTGCTGATAGCGTTTTTGGCAAGCTTGATGCAGACAGCAAACTGTATGTAAAATGTACCATTACAAATTGCACAATGGTTTGATGTGAACAGCATCAGACTTGAGTAGTACTTTGAAAGTCTGTCTTCTTCTTTTTTTCAGCTCTACAAACAATGATAACAAACACCACAGATTACCTTAAACACGCCATCATTTTTTCCTTCCTTCATTTCGGGTACCAAAAGAGGGGGGAGTTCAGAAAGTGGGGGGATCACGCAGGGTTCCATTGGCTGCCGAGGTTCCATCCACCACTTGTAGAAACGCATCAAGGCATACATTATGGCAGCACCAATGACCATTCCTGAGATGTAGGAGGGTAATGGAAGAATAAAATACAAAAATACTATGACCATCCAGCTAAATAACTTTTTACCGGGTACCGACTCATGGTGGTCTGCTTGAGCACTATTCTGTAAATCTTTTGGAGAAGCTTTGCTATCAACTGGTGGAGTTGACTCAAAAATGTCATAAAAGGTATCTTCAGAGTCCTGTTTTGATTTTTTATCCATTAAGGAGCTGAAAGTCAATGGTCCTGGTGCCATGGTCGGCTTTGGTCTATTTTTTAGCAAACTGGCAGCTTTTCTCACAATTTTTTTAGCCTTACTTGACCCTCCTACAGCCATGGCCTGGCTAACCTCCACACCTGCAGAAGAACGTGTTATAACAGCCCTGGGAAGATTAACACCTCCATCAAATTCCTCTAACGGCTCTGCTTCATAATACTCATCCATGATTTTTATCGACTCTGCAGGAGGCACACTTCCATTGTCTTCTGCACACTTTCTCTTAGCAACCTCATCATTTATTTTGGGGTCACTACTGTAATCAGAAAGGTCATCCTCTTCAGCTTCACTGGCCAGCTTCTTACTCAGGGCAGTAAGAGGATCATCTGGACTGTCCTTGCTATCAAACCAGGACTCCCCATCTTTATCATCTTCTATCACTCCAGTCGCTATCTTCCGTATACCTGTTGAGGGAGGCTTTGGTCTCTTGGGAACCATTTTAGGAGACCTGATGGTAAAGATTTTCATTATTAAAGGAACACTTTTCATCTTCTCAGACAGAAGAAAAATGGAACCAATATAAGATGCAACCAACAGCACACATAATCAGACGCAATGGAAGTTGTTATTGCATGCTCCTTTTTGCCAATAAGCTAGAATTTTTTTCAGACAAAATCAATAATTAATTCAATTTGATAAAAAAATCTTGATAATAAGGTAAATAAAATAAAATTAATCAACTATCAGTGCATGCAAGAGAGTAGTAGGCATAATGTCTCTATTCAAATGTGATAAGTAATTATAAATCAGGAAAGCCACCAATAAATGAAGATTTGATTTTGTGAACCTATGATAGGCCCTGTGCAATCAAGCTCCATCACTATTACACATCAAACTATTATTCACCCCATTTATCTTGATTAATTTGTGCACAAAAATTAAGGTTTTTATGTCCTGAACCACTTAGTAAGAATGTGCATCATAGAAAGTGCATTGGAACGTATTAATGCTGGTAATGGATGCAGGCTTCCAGGAGACTAAAAAAACTCACGTCAAATTGACACTATTAATTAGAACAGGAATTCTTTACAATACGAAAATGTCTGTATCTGTTTAAAGCGTCTTCAATATTAGTACAGAATTATTTTTTTATTGTAGTCATGTGTCCTACAGAGCGCAATTGCGAAAACTATACATACATCTGTTTGTTATGCATGAGGTGTATGCGGAGTGTGCAAATGCACGTGTGCAGACATGATTCTTTTGAGTAGAGAATAATGCTTCTAGATTACTTTCTCTGATGAAGCCACATTACCTCAGATTACAGGAACAAATACACTTTCCAGATTGATCGATACTTGCAGATTTTTTCCGACTTTGAACTGATTAATGCTGTTTTCTCTTTCATTTCACACACACACACACACACAAAAAAAAACTTTGGCCACATTCACAATTAAAAATGTTCTGCGGATCAAATATGGCAGATCCACTTAAAAGTTTCCTGTGTAATCCCCAAGGGTGAATCTACTAAGTGTCTGTTAGAGGGTTATGCTGGAAGTTTTCAAGTGGATTGGCCATATTTGATCCACAGATCTGTTAGTCTGCAGCTCATTTTTGATTGTGAATGTGGTCTAAGGTGTTTTCAACTTGTTCTGAATGAGCCCTTATTCCATACATCTTTTCCATTAATTTCCTCAGGCCTACCCAACTACCAGACTCAGCACCGAATGATCCAGAATTCACCGGTAGATCAGACCACACTACCCGTTTTCAAGGTGTGTGTCAGATTGCATTACACAGTATCAGACGCGACACCGCTCTTGCCTAGTACGCGATGTGATAGTGACGATTCTCAGCGGGGTTGAAAAGCATTGCATCACCACTCAAAATTTGTTCAGGGTATGATACTGTGTAATGCGATCTGACACACACCTTGAAAACGGGTAGTGTGGCCTGGTCTACCGGTGAATTCTGGATCATTCGGTGCCGAGTCTGGTAGTTGGGTAGGCCTGTTCCTGCATTATCAACATACATGTCAACCTTACTGGTTTATTCACAGGAATGAATAAATCATCTTAAACATATTTCAAATGAGTCCAAAATTGTTATGCACATGTCAGATGTAATGTTGGACAAAGAAGCATAAAATGATTATAGTTGCAGAGTGCAGACACAGTTTACACTGATCTAGACTGTATTAACACACACCGCAAACAGAGTTACACATTCCCTAATATGAAATTCACTGCCACCCTCCTCCTTTAGCATTCCCATTCCTTTTTCAGCAAGTCTAGCCTCATTAAAAGTTGCTAGAATAAGCAAATTCTAGGCTTCCCATGTAAACCTGTGTTCAATGAAACTAGATCAGGTTTTGATTCAGAACAAGCCAAATGGGTGGTTCGTCTACAGACCTGATTTATCTGAAAGAGTGAGTTTGTGAGATTGCAATTTGTATGAGTGAACTCCCACCTTACCTCGTCCTTGTGGGTGATGCCCCCAGGGGATCTGATTGCCAACCCGGTCTGTGTATTTGGTGGTCCTTTTGCTTGACTGTCTCCAGGTCAGAGACAGAACTAGGCTTCTGAAGTGAGCATGGGGAAATCATATCCTCCTTGTTATTTCCATTATCATCAGTAATATCATTGCTCCGTTTCCATGTTGTCAATCCCCCACTTGACTCACTTCGGTGGAACTGGATTGAGTCTTTGAGATCATCTTCAATGTCAGAATCAGATTCTAGGTTTGTAGCATTGAAGCGGATTGCTATCCCCCCGGGTGAGCCCTTGCTGAGCTTCCCCAATGATGGAGCTGGAGGCCTTGGAGGGGGAGCTTCTTTTTTCATACTCATCTTCATCAACTACATCTAGAAAGCCTTGCACAGGACTAAATATAATGCAAAAAGAAAAAATATATATATACACATATCAAATTAACTTGTTGTATAATGTGCATAGAAAAATAAACCAAAGTGCAATTGATTGGAAAATGTTTTTTAAATCTGTTAAATACAGCCACCTGCAAGTGTTGGATGATTTTCAGCTAATTAGTGGAGAGAATGAATTTTACACATATCTATGAATATGTTTATTTAATTTTCACAAAATGACTCATGATTAACTGTGACAATGATAGCAAATCTGGAATACTTCAGATCTTAAAGGCATTGTAACAGAGAAACTCTCAAATATTTTGGCCTGTAGTACCAGCAATTTCTTCCAACCCCATATAAACTATTCATACATATTTTCCCCCATAATTTTGGAAAAAAAGAGAATAATACAATACACAGATAATAATTCAAAATATCAAAATTATGCCATGTGATGCCACACTTGGCAGTTACAGCACTCAATTAATAAATATACTAAATCAAATCAGTTACAGTCTCTCTTATGGGTCTGACTAATGACTTGGCCAAAAGATATATGTATTACTGAATGTTCAAGAGTTTCAAAATTACTGCAGAATCAGATGCTATTACTTTAAGATACAGGGCAAGTGATGTATTAGCAGGATTGAATTCAAGCAATAAGAACAACCAAATGCATTTCCTGTATTTATCATGATCATTAATGATCTAGAAAGACACACTGCTTGAAGGTTAAGATGGACCTGTCAATAAAATATGAAGTTATGTCAGATAATTCCTATAAATTAAAATTTAGCTTCCTGTCTCTATTTTTAAGTACTTGTATATAATATGAACACTTGCATGTACCACAGACATACTTAATTATGAAGTGTTCAAGTTAAAAGCAAAATGATATATTTTATGAAAATTCTTGTAACTACAGACATACTAAATCTTGAGAGTTTAAATGATCATACACATGCAATTACACAGCTGAAAAGACATCCTTTATCTTCATCATTATTATATCATAATTATAAAAATAATAATTATTTAATATTATTAATAAATTATTATTATAACATTGTTATCTTCAACAAAAGTGTTTAAAATCATATGTGAGAAAACCAAGTATGACCCCTTTTCATTATGTGTCAAGGTTATAGATTACTGTCAAAACTTTACTATCTTTTCTGAATTATGAGTTTGATGATTTTAGGTCATTTTTGTCTTATCTGCCTTTGGTTAATGTTCGGGCATTGTCAAGAAGCTAATCCTCAGTTGACGCAGTACTGATAATTATTTGGATGAGTTGTGCTTCTCAGTTCCTGACATGAATCAAAATAATGTACTAGATAGTAATCTGTAAGGATTTTCGCTCTCTTTTTTACAGTGTACAGTTTCTTCTTTCAGCTGAATGTTCAGAATAATTGTTCAACCAATATTCAGATGGATTTTCAAAAGAAGAAAAAGAAAAGTCTCTGTATATTAGCTATCTACCCATATTTCTATATTTATCTTTTTATGTAATAGACAAACACAGGGAGACAGAAAGAAAGACAGAAAGAATGTTTGTTATAAACAGATTGACGGTAATTACTCCCTAACTTAATAAAGCTACTCAATCATTCCATTACAAAAAATAATATTCAAGATTTATCATGAGTTCCAAAGCACAAACTGCATTCCTTCCCTATGAAATTATTCCAATTTATTTTTGTTTAACATATTATTGACAGTAAATTCTTTTGAAAAATATAATCCATCACTTTTGATCAAATTTAGAGAGAAATTACCATAAAAAGCAAGCTTAAAGTGAAATGATAGATCCACTTTCCCTGACCTCTAAGGGTTATTCTTGCAGTCTAAGAGCAGGGGAGGGGGAGGGCACTAAAAACAACTCTTGTAAAGACTTTATTACATCTTTGATTAGATTCCTGGAAGAAGGTGCCCTTGACATTTTGCCATGGTGATCAATAACTCTTATAAATCCACATTTTTACAATGTAATGCATCAGCATCTTAAAAGACAGCATATAACAGAAAAATTAAACAGATATGAGAAGAAGATATAGTCAAAAATCCTGACCACTAGATTTAACTGGTTAATACATTGTGAGACCCACATACACAGTTATCATACTCCAACATCTGTTGGGTGGCACCTGTGAGACACTTTAGGGGGGCTGAGTATAATAATTTACCTCTACCCATTTCAGAGCACCTTATATTCCCATTTTCAGTAATGTAAACAAGTATCAAAATATAATCTCACAAAGTGAGTTTTGCACATGGGCATTATTGCAAAACATCCAGTCAGCAATGAAAGCTCTATCATCACTGTAGAATACTGGCAGATTTGTGAAAAACTAAGTGTTTAATGTCAGAAAGATATCAAGTGAAACACGTAAGATAAATGCCTGCAGGCTGCTCTTGTTGTATTCTATCCATCATTCCCGTCACCAGTGCCTCCCACCCCTAGGGCCAACTACATGTACAGGTACATGTTACCCTGCTTGGACCCTTTCTGAAAAAACCTATTACTGGCATTTATGTACATATATGTTCCTTAATAGTTAGTGCCAACATCATAACTGATTTACAACATACAAAAGATGAGGGGTGTATCATAATCTTTTAAAGAGATTTATATTCAATTATAGCCCCTAGACATGTACCTGTAATGCTCAAATCCACAGGGAAAAATAATTCGGTACATTTCCAAACAAAGTTGACAAACATTATGACGTGCCCTGGTAGACATATACAGGTACATGAATATGAAGACTGAGATATTGTTGTTGTTTACCATGAAAACATAAAATGTATTTTCAGAAGTTAAATAAATAGCATAACAATTGCAACTGTGGACAACTGAACGTTTTTTTATGTCAGAATATCAATGAATCCTAGAAAACCTATTTGATAAAACACCTACATACAACCTTGGAGAGTTTGAAAATAATAGATACAAGACGTCATTCCTACAACTGTACTATGATTTCACATATGCACACTAGTTCTACATCACATGTAAATCTGCAAATCATTTCGTTTGAAATGTTCGTTTTAACAGTAATCACAGAAGTACAAATATCAATGCAAAATCTAATCTAATTATTATAAGAAGGGATTTCGTTTGCTGATAGTATCGCTATTTACCTCAACACGCCTTGCTTTTCTTGGGAAGTGCTTCTCCACCTCTATTTACTTGACTTGACCTTATTTGTGTACAGATTCCGCAGTAAATGAAAATCTTCCAATCACGTTACAAAACGTACCCACCTGTAATGTACGACGACCCGTGCATTGCTCCAGAAAATTTAATGCGGTTATCTTGATCATTGATAATGCTGTCGAAGTTGTAACTAATTTTGGTCGTTATTTATAAGGACTTTTTGTTGCTTATTTAGTAATGTACATTCGTGTGTACAAGGTTATATTTCTGAGGGACAACTTCCTAATCTCTTTTACCTTTTAGTGCGGAACTAGGCAGCAATTGTAACAAGCAGCAGGCGGAAGAGAAAAACAAAACATGGGGACTTTTTTTATAAAGATAGATATCCGTGTAGTTATCTCTGGGACCAGTATGTAAACTAATTATTGATTCTGTCTGCAAGATGAGGGGCCAGACTTTTAAGAAGATCCAGCGCTGGATGTCGATTCTCTCTTGGATTACTTTCCTTGCCCAAGTTACACTAACTAAATCGAAAACACAGGTATTTTACTTTTTGTTGCATTTCATTATGTTATTGTTAACTGTGATAGTGCTTAAAGCACTGTCATGCTGGGTAACTGACGTCAAGGGATTCAAACGAAGGCAACGTTAAAAAGCCCAATTTTAACAGAATTGAACTGTGTAATTTCTGTAGTATGTTGTATGGGGTTGCCTCTTTTTTGGCCATTCCACCAAAGATAAAATATTCACAGGGAAAAATTCTGATAAATTTATTATTATCGGTAGTGAGTTTTAGATCATTTATATAACTTCAAAGGAAGTGCTTGACATTGGGAAGGTATAATTTGCGTTAAAGAGATTAATTTAAATAAAACAGCTGAAAGGTATTATCAAAAAGTCATATCAAATTATGTGATGGTCATTGGTTGCAAAACTTGCTCTAATATTTATATTAGAAAAACTGCACACATGCCATTATGTGATATGGTTTTTGATTCTTTTAATGTTTTAATGTTATTGAAAAAGTTGAAAATGTGTGACAGGGCAGAAAATGTGTCAAAATAAGTAATATGGGGGATATTTTTATTTTGAAAATTAATCTTTTGAATTTTTTCACAATGTGTTTGACTGGCTAAATAATAAAAATTGACAAATGTGGTTACCAATTACATTTCTTTTAAGTGTTTTTAGTCCCACTCCAACTCACAAGTACATGAAAAATTCACACTTTAGTGGTGAGAAGTGTAATCATGCATGACCACTTGCCTAAATTTACTGAGGCTAAGACTGTTAAATAGTCTGAAATTGTTCTAGGAACTTGGTCCTATGGTTGTATCCATAAATACATTTGGCTTTGTTTTAAAACATGTTTTTTTTTTCTATAAACATTGCAGCTGTGAAGGTTATGTAAAAACTTTATGATAAAGGTCTTGTCCAAGGCTCAATCGTACATTTGTGCCTTAAAAATTATTACATGCCAAAATATTTTTTTTAGTCTCATGTCATTTCAGAAGTTAAAGTAATTTAAGAGTAAACTGTAGATCTTTTTGTCATATAGAAATGTGATAATCTGAATTACAAATTGAATACTCAAGTTGACTCATAGTAATATGCCTCCCTTTTCAAATAATTGTCAGTAGTTATAAAAAATATATGCTGGTATCGGTAGTACTACCAGTATAGCAAATACATAAACTTCAAACTTGGAAGCCTCTACTAAATGATTTTACCTGTTTAGACCAAGGAGGCATAAAGTTCTTCTTTGTTAAGATTTAACATGGCAAATTGGAATACTATAACATACTAGTACATGTTTATAGAATATTCACAGCTGCTGCTGTGAAATTAAATTCTGTCATTTTTTAACCTGAAATAAGATAGAAAAGGTAGACAGCCTTTAGTCTTTGCACTTAAACAAATTCAACAATGAAAGTTATTTAGGTTCACCTTTGAATAAAACATTTTGAAATGCTCTGACACTGTAATGGAGATGATGACTGAGATAACTAGCACAGCTTGGGTGTGAGTTGTGAAGAAGAAAATAATATGAACTGAAGGATCAAGGCAAAAGCATGAATCAAGATATTAGTCACATTCTTCTACACCAACATAATTTTTTTTTTCACTTTGAATATTTTGTCAAACTTGAAAATGGGCCTCTTGATAATTTTGAAAAGTTTGTCACCTTATATTGTTGTGACAGATTTACGCAAATTTAAAATATTGATTAATTTATAAGTGACAAAATTTTCAAGTTTTTACTGATACCAATAGCCAGATAAGCTAACAGTGCATTTAATTTTGAAATTGAAGCCAATATGGTTTTCTCCCAAGGTTGCTGCTTGGAACTTGAATTACCATGGTTCCTGTTTCTGCCCAAAGGATATACTGCGTAGAAGCCCACATAAAAACACTGAACTTGAATAATGATGCTAAATCATTTATGTTAAAACTAGACACCTGCATACATAAGGATATTACTGTTATTTTCAGCATAATAGCCACAATGCACTTACTCCACATGAAAGCTTATTGTTTGTGTCTACCCTTGGAGGATCCTTTTATGCTGTCAGCAAAACCAATGGGGACATAAAATGGATATTAAAAGAAGGTTTGTGGTTTTGCTTATATTAAAATACATTCTATACTGTTGTTTACATTTTTTTTTACTATTGGTGATTTTTATTGATATATGATGGATTATCTAATAGCAATGGAAATGGAATATGTGAAATGGGATAGAATGCATAAAATGTTATATATATATATATATATATATATATATATATATATATATATATATATATATATATATATATATATATATATATANAAAAAATAGCATAACAATTGCAACTGTGGACAACTGAACGTTTTTTTTAATGTCAGAATATCAATGACTCCTAGAAAACCTATTTGATAAAACACCTACATACAACCTTGGAGAGTTTTAAAATAATAGATACAAGACGTCATTTACAACTGTACTATGATTTCACATATGCACACTAGTTCTACATCACATGTAAATCTGCAAATCATTTCGTTTGAAATGTTCGTTTTAACAGAGATCACAGAAGTACAAATATCAATGCAAAATCTAATCTAATTATTATAAGAAGGGATTTCGTTTGCTGATGGTTTCGCTATTTACCTCAACACGCCTTGCTTTTCTTGGGAAGTGCTTCTCCACCTCTATTTACTTGACTTGACCTTATTTGTGTACAGACTCCGCAGTAAATGAAAATCTTCCAATCACATTACAAAACGTACCCACCTGTAATGTACGACGACCCGTGCATTGCTCCAGAAAATTTAATGCGGTTATCTAGATCATTGACAATACTGTCGAAGTTGTAACTAATTTTGGTCGTTATTTATAAGGACTTTTTGTTGCTTATTTAGTAATGTACATTCGTGTGTACAAGGTTATATTTCTGAGGGACAACTTCCTAATCTCTTTTACCTTTTAGTGCGGAACTAGGCAGCAATTGTAACAAGCAGCAGGCGGAAGAGAAAAACAAAACATGGGGATTTTTTTATAAAGATAGATATCCGTGTAGTTATCTCTGGGACCAGTATGTAAACTAATTATTGATTCTGTCTGCAAGATGAGGGGCCAGACTTTTAAGAAGATCCAGCGCTGGATGTCGATTCTCTCTTGGATTACTTTCCTTGCCCAAGTTACACTTACTAAATCGAAAACACAGGTATTTTACTTTTTGTTGTATTTCATTATGTTATTGTTAACTGTGATAGTGCTTAAAGCACTGTCATGCTGGGTAACTGACGTCTGGGATTCAAACGAAGGCAACGTTAAAAAGCCCAATTTTAACAGAATTGAACTGTGTAATTTCTGTAGTATGTTGTATGGGGTTGCCTCTTTTTTTGGCCATTCCACCAAAGATAAAATATTTACAGGGAAAATTTCTGATAAATTTATTATTATTATTATCGGTAGTGAGTTTTAGATCATTTTATATAACTGCAAAGGAAGTGCTTGACATGATAAGGTATAATTTGCGTTAAAGAGATTAATTTAAAAAAAAAAAACAGCTGAAAGGTATTTTTATGATGGGCACAGCATACTTACATGAACAAGTCATACTTGCATTAAAGAGGGCATTTGATAAACATGTTTTGCTGGATGATATCTGCTAAACTGATCTCTTTAAAATGAAATAAGAATAAGAGTCTGATTTATACAATTTTTCATTTCAACTATTAACCAGTTTTCCTGGGATTTTTAAAATATCTATCATACCATCAAGATTTATTATTATATGTCATTGTTGTAAGCCTCTGTGGTAAATCTCAACAAGTTTTAATTGGACTTTAAATGTCGAAAAGTCATATCAAATTATGTGATGGTCATCGGTTGCAAAACTTGCTCTAATATTTATAATAGAAAAACTGCACTTTTGCCATTATGTGATATGGTTTTTGATTCTTTTAATGTTTTAATGTTATTGGAAAATTTGAAAATGTGTGACAGGGCAGAAAATGTGTCAAAATAAGTAATATGGGGGATATTTTTATTTTGAAAATTAATCTTTTGAATTTTCTCACAATGTGTTTAACTGGCTAAATAATAAAAATTGACAAATGTGGTTACCAATTACATTTCTTTTAATTGTTTTTAGTCCCACTCCAACTCACAAGTACATGAAAAATTCACACTTTTTAGTGGTGAGAAGTGTAATCATGCATGACCACTTGCCTAAATTTACTGAGGCTAAGACTGTTAAATAGTCTGAAATAGTTCTAGGAACTTGGTCCTATGGTTGTATCCATAAAACATGTTTTTTTTTTTTCTATAAACATTGCAGCTGTGAAGGTTATGTTAAACTTTATGATAAAGGTCTTGGACAAGGCTCAATCGTACATTTGTGCCTTAAAAATTATTACATGCCAAAATATTTTTTTTAGTCTCATGTCATTTCAGAAGTTAAAGTAATTTAAGAATAAGCTGTAGATCTTTTTGTCATATAGAAATGTGATAATCTGAATTACAATTGAATACTCAAGTTGACTCATAGTAATATGCCTCCCTTTTCAAATAATTGTCAGTAGTTATAAAAAAATATATGCTGGTATCGGTAGTACTACCAGTATAGCAAATACATACACTTCAAACTTGGAAGCCTCTACTAAATGATTTTACCTGTTTAGACCAAGGAGGCATAAAGTTCCTCTTTGTTCAGATTAACATGGCAAATTGGAATACCATAACATACTAGTACATGTTTATAGAATAGAGATTAAATTCTGGCATTTTTTAACCTAAAGTAAGATAGAAAAGGTAGACAGCCTTTAGTCTTTGCACTTAAACAAATTCGACGTGAAAGTTATTTAGGTTCACCTTTGAATAAAACATTTTGAAATGCTCTGACACTGTAATGGAGATGATGACTGAGATAACTAGCACAGCTTGGGTGTGAGTTATGAAGAAGAAAATAATATGAACTGAAGGATCAAGGCAAAAGCATGAATCAAGATATTAGTCACATTCTTCTACACCAACATAATAATTTTTTTTTCACTTTGAATATTTTGTCAAACTTGAAAATGGGCCTCTTGATAATTTTGAAAAGTTTGTCACCTTATATTGTTGTGACAGATTTACGCATTTTAAAATATTGATTAATTTATAAGTGACAAAATTTTCAAGTTTTTACTGATACCAATAGCCAGATAAGCTAACAGTGCATTTAATTTTGAAATTGAAGCCAATATGGTTTTCTCCCAAGGTTGCTACTTGGAACTTGAATTACCATGGTTCCTGTTTCTGCCCAAAGGATATACTGTGTAGAAGCCCACATAAAAACACTGAACTCGAATAATGATGCTAAATTATTTATGTTAAAACTAGACACCTGCATACATAAGGATATTACTGTTATTTTCAGCATAATAGCCACAATGCACTTACTCCACATGAAAGCTTATTGTTTGTGTCTACCCTTGGAGGGTCCTTTTATGCTGTCAGCAAAACCACTGGGGACATAAAATGGATATTAAAAGAAGGTTTGTGGTTTTGCTTATATTAAGATACATTCTATACTGTTTACATTTTTTTTACTATTGGTGATTTTTATTGATATAAGATGGATTATCTAATAGCAATGGAAATGGAATATGTGAAATGGGATAGAATGCATAAAATGTTGTTTTATATATATATATATATATTTTTTTTTTTTTTTTTTTTTTTACTTTTTAATGACACTGTCTTTTGTATTCACAGATGTACCTGATTTTTGTTTATCAGCCAGTTATGAAAACCTGATGTTGTTGTGGCTTATTGATATATATTAAACAAGGAAATGCATTATGTCAATTTAAATGTATGGTTACAATCAACCCAAATGTTTACATAAAGTGTTTTGTATGCATTGTGTAAGGAAAATTAGACTAATATATATGTACTTTTATGTTATGTTTACTTCGATGTGCTTGATGTTTTTATTTTAATTATTATTTCTTAAAGATCCAGTGGTAAAGGTGCCCAGTGAAGTTCAAAAAGGGTGAGCAGGAGCAGATTGCTTTCAAACTTGTCTTTTTACAGTAGTTATTGTCAAAATGCATTATATAAAACTGTAGATTTCAATTTTTGAAATAAAAAATATTGAAAGCCTAGCAAAATTGATTGAATGACAAGAAAATATAAATGTCAATATTATTTATATTTTTACAGTCCAATATTTCTCCCTGACCCTAAAGATGGCAGCCTGTATGCAATAAGCAGTGATCTAAAGGGGATGAAGAAAATGCCATTCACAATCCCAGAACTAGTCTCTGCCTCGCCTTGCAGGAGTTCAGATGGCTTGTTATATACAGGTAGGCAAGGAGAACTATAAAGATTGATAGGTGGATATCAAAATGAAACAGATGTGTTGCTGAAACCAGGTTTGTGGTATGTTAAATAATGTATTATTTTGCATACAAGAAATGAAATGGCTGCAAATAATATTTTTAAATGTTGAGTTGCAAGGAGAATGCTGAGATTTAGTTATATTGATAAATGATTGAGTATGTTATAATTCGATCACATAATTAAAAACCCTTTGACAGAAAGGTTCAAAAGATATTTGGAACATCATAAAAGTTTAGGTGAATTTAACAAAAAAGTGACCATTAATATGATAATTTGAAGAAAAAAAAGAGAAATAATTTTAACCCGGATTACAGTTTAGCTTTTTATCCAATATTTGCAAAATTATATTTTATGACACATTAAAAGATTTTTATCCAATATTTGTGAAATTATATATTTTGACACATTGAAAGATTTTTCTAAATTTCAAGGTTCAAAAAATGATGTCTGGTTTGCCGTGGACCCTTCCACTGGTGCTAAACTTCAAACCCTCACCATGGATGGCCATCAGAAAGTTTGCCCATCATCCAGTGGTAGTACTATATTCATAGGGAGGACAGGTATAATTAGAACTACATTAAATTATCTTTAATAAAAAAAGTGTGTTCCAATATGTAGTAAAAAAGGGCTTGTGTGATAGATGTCATGGAGTGGAGGAGATTAAAACCTGTCTTTAATATATATAACAGTCTGCTGGTGCGGAAGAGATCAGGTGAGACCTGCTACCTGGTAAATGCTCTTAATGAGAGTGACAATCTCTGAATAGATGCTGCGGGGAAGTGTGTCATGTGGGCGTTAAATTTCAGGAAAATATCTTGTTGAGTGAATTTGTGAAGATATTGTGCAGTTGTTGTTGCTGTTATGGTATTTTTTAAGAAATGTGCTCATCTGCTTACAATGTCTTCGTTTTTAATCTGTATGGAAATCTGTTGCCTCTGATAATGTTTATTTTTGTATCAACCATTTGAAGTATCAAATTAGGATAATGATATTTCATAAAATGCACATAAAAAATTATAAGAAAAAGAGATCTTAGAGATTTGTCGTCATATTTATTTGTTTTGTTTCTTTAATTATTTTGTAGAATACACTATTGCCATGTTTGATAGTAAAACACGAATGAAAAGGTAATTATAAAAAAAAACTGATATCTGAAGCATGCAATGAAAATATAATAATTTTAGTCAAGTAATGCATTTTATATTTAGTTTCTTTTGTAGTATAATTGCTTTTGATTCATCCATCTATTTTAAGAAAATCTTTGTCATTACTAAAAACATTGATAATGAACAAATATATAATTCCCACATTCTAACAGATTTACTGTTCTGTTTCAGGTGGAATGCCACATTTATGGATTACTCTTCACATGTGGCAGCAGACATTAAAGATTACAGTAAGTAGAGAAATCCTTTGTGCATCATAATAGTTGGCATAACCTGTGTGCCATGTTCCATTTTCTTAGTATATATATATATATATATAATGTAACTGCCTACCACCTTGAGTAAGACTAATGTAAGCTGCTATTTGTGATATGGTCCATTCCACCAACAACTATGGCTCTTTTTAAAATGACCGATTTACATTGTGATTAAAATAATTTTGTGTAATTGTTCTCTGATAATTTATGTATGGCAAGAATATACATACAAATGTTATTTATGTGGGAATGGCTTCTTAAAGATGAAGAATGATCCACAATTTTGTAAAATTTTCTTTCCAGCTATGCGGCATTTTAGCTCCAGCTCTGATGGCATATTAGTAACATTAGACGCAGAAACGGGGGAGATAGTGTGGCACAAAGATTATGGCTCCCCAGTAGTGGCTGTCTATGTGCTGGAGTCTGACAGTCTTCATAAGGTGCCATTTACTAGTATGGCATCTGAGACGCTGGATCATTTGACCAATCAAATGTCACGTGCCATGTGGCAAAGGAAGTTTGTGAAACATAGCATGCAACAAAACTTATTGAATGAAAAGGACAGGGAGAAAACACCGGAATTTCAGTGAGTTTTTCATGTATTTTAAGGTAAGAAGAGTTATATGAATTTGTGCACTGGAAGAAGATTAAACTGGAGGTTTCTATTCAAGATGGTAAACATTTGATTGATTTTGAATTCAAAACGATTTGTCAATTACATATATACATATTTATGAGAATCATAAATATGTATATATATATATATATTAGAATCATAATGTGTTGCAGATGCTTATAGTGATGTGTTGTTATTAGCTAATATTAATGGTTTCATTTTATAATTTCAGTCCAACAGTATACATTGGGGAATATGAACATGGATTTTTTGCTTTGCCATCCTGGGTGGATCCAGAAGCAGTAACTATAGCGGTAAGCAGTCTCAGATTCCCTCACAATTATTGTTTATAGGTGTAACATGTAAGGTCACAGTTTAGAGTGAAGTAAAATAAGAAGAAGAGACCTATGAATAATTTTAAATAGATAAATGTCTTCCATTCAATGTAATCTACAGGCTAAATGATTATTATGTACCCCTGTGAAAAAAAATTATTTTGGGGGGAAAAAGCAAAAAGGATGCTGTAACAGTATTTTCAGTGCCTATTGTAGATCAGTTTTGTTTGATAAACTATTATTTAAAAAAGAAGGATAAGTCATAGTCACCAGCTTTTCATTGCAATGTATAATTTATTTCATCAGCCCAAAGATGTTGGTGTTTTGCTCCTGGAAGGACCAACTGTACCAGCAGAAGCACCACCTCCTGGCAGGCATAAAGATATAATTGGAGCTTCAACAAAGAGAAGGGGTGGGCCAGCACTTATGCTGGGTAGGTATTTGTTTAATAGTTTAACGTAGCTCACATTTGGCTGTGACAGCACACGCTTGTATGTGGAAAAAATTGTTGACTTTGTTGACAACATTTTTGTTGAAGATTGATTGGTGGTTTTTCATGTCATTAGTGTGTTTTTGAAGTATGAAATTTACTGTCAATATACATGGTTGGCATTTCTTGGCCTTTTCATGTATGCATAGGTGAACCTTCATTGGTATCAATTATGTGTTAATCTTTGTAAAATGACCGATATCAAATTAAGATTTGGAAAATACATCAGCATATATTTCATCAGAAGATTGCCTAATTTGAGAGAATGCTCAGCAGACAAATCCTCACTAGATCGTTTCCACAAATCGCGCTTGTGTTCGGGAATATTATTCTCCACATCATTGGAGCTCATATCAACTTTATATACCAAGAAAGACTGGTGTACATTTGAACTATCAAAAGTCTCGGAGACCCAAGCACATGCTTGATCTCTTCCAAATCCCCTGTCACATGACCTGCTTCAAAGGTAATTGACTTATCAGTCCCATTCCTTAGAGTACATGTACAACTGAGGGAATGGTCCATGTAATTGGTGCTCATAAAACCCATAGGGCACTGAGGGGCTCTTCTGATCATATTGAGGGGCGTGGAGTAAATGGGTTTTGTTCTTCTCCACCACAAAGGAAACTGGAACAAACTTCTCAGACTGAGGTGAAATGGCAACTTTCTTTGCTAGAAAGAGGCGATTCACTTCTAAATAATTGTCACTACCTGAGGCATGGACTTTATTGCATCTGTCAGAGGGACCTGGTGTTGTCTGGTCAATGTTGTAAAATTGTTTTCTAGACAGACATGACACTCAAACATTTTTAAAAAGTCCAAACCCAATAAAACCTACGGTAGGCAAACGATGCTAATATTCTCACACGGGATCCGAATTCTTTAAAGCTTTTGTATTCTTTTTGTTTTATAGTGGCCAGTTCTGTCTGTTACTGGCCTGTTTGATCAAATGGCCACAGAAATCATTTTTACACTGATGTTTGGACAGATTTAGTGGAAAAAGTGATGTGCATGAGACCAAGAACATAAGTAGAGGTGGTAAAAAATGCCTGTATGTGTGGCGCAAATATGCTAATCAGTTGGGGTTTCCCCATTTGAGCTTGTATCTCGCCATTGTTGTGACTTCTAGATATTTCGTTCAAGATTACCACACCAAGTCACATGATAACAGGTGTCATGCGACACCTGGTGTGACGCATAAACAATGCATAGTCCAATACGCTACATAGAGTGTGGTTTTTCAACTTGAAGGCCATAAGGAAGTGGTTACATTTTAGATTTTCTTTTTCCCTTATTTTAGGATACCATGAGGTGCCAGAGAATACAAAGTCAAAAATAATACCACTGCAGATAGCAGACAAATCAGGAACCATTGCGTCTAGAATACTTACACCAGCTCTACCAGCAAACTCAGGTAACTTATGCCAACAAAAGCAAGCAAGGAGCAAATTCAAAGCTGAGCATAATAATATTTTCCAGGCAGATACATTTGTTTCACATTATTAATTAATTAATTATAATAAAAATCAAGGTAATATTTGTGGAATAACTGTTATATATTGCTGGGGAATTTTTTAGTGTTTTTCAGAGGAATTTAAAATTGAAAACTTTTTATTGGAGTTCATTAAGATTTCAGATCAGATTAACATATTCTATATTATACTTCTAAATGACTTGTGCCTCAACTTTTTCCATTAATTTGTTTCAGTAAGTTCAATTATAGGACGTTGTATTTCAGATGGTAATGACACCAGCCTAGAGACAGGCCCAGTGAAGCAGGATGGCTACTCAGCCTTAATGGAGGGCATCAGTACGGAGAGCAAACTGATAGGAACTATGGTGGCTGCACTTACCACCATCATCCTTATCATATGTAACTTCCAAAGAGTAAGGACCTTTTGTTCTATTTGTATAACATTTTAAAAGTTGACTACATGCTAATTTATTGAAAAATAATATATGAAAAAAAATTATGCGGATTATTTATAATTATGATATTTAAGCAAGTATTTCAATTTCATAAGTATCATATAAAAATACTTGTATTAAAAAGAATATTATATATATAGTATTAGCATCCTATTGAAAATGATGTGATTGACCATACATTTTTGTGTTCCTTTCATAAGATCATATGTCATAAGATGCATATCTGGGTAATATATAGCTTCATTATTTTCATATTGATATAATTTTTGTTTCTTTGTAGAAGACTGAGCAGTCAATCAAGGTAATGTTAGAGCAACAGAAACAGCAGCTTGAGGCCCAAAGACGGTCAGAGGAAGAAGAACGGAAAAAACTACAGCAACAAAGGTCTATGCAGACATCACTGCCAATACAGCACTCTGACTCTAGCACAACACTGGAAGGTAACCAAATGTTCAGTTTTATTGATATAGCTGTGCTTATGTACCCGAACACAAATATCACAAATAGGATATTTTCAAGTCAGAAAAAAAAGTAAAGATGCTGATTGGCATTGGTCTGGCCAGCAACCAGATATAAGATGTCTCACACAGAATTCTATTTTCAGATAAATGGGAAGAGAAAGTTTTGTGTAATCCATTTATGTTATCTCAATTTTGTAACAGTAAAAAGATTTATCTTCGGATATAGTGGGTATATTTTATGAATGTGAAATTGCTTTAATGATGCATTTGTTTGCTCACAGAGCTGCCTTCAGGATGGACCAGAGTTGGAAAGATCATGTTTGACCCAAAAGCAGTTCTAGGCCATGGTTGTGAAGGGACATTTGTATACAAGTAGGTTTTGAATCATATTATCATGAACTTAATCATTAAACATTCACTTTTTTTCAATGACGTTCATTGGAATTTATATATTCTACAGTTATTAGTACATGTAAATTGTCCTTGAGGAATGTAATTTTTAATCAATGATTTGAAACATTTACAACAAAATTTATATTGAGCTTGTTTGTTTTATTTTTAAAAAATCTTTCTTATACATTCAAGGGGTAGATTTGATGGAAGAGATGTAGCAGTGAAACGGTTACTGCCGGAATGTTTCAGCTTCGCAGACAGAGAGGTGGAGCTGTTACGGGAATCTGATTTACATTCTAATGTTATAAGATATTTTTGTACAGTAAGTTTGGATTTTATCCTTGGTTCACTTTATAATTAGTTTGAAATCTGCTGACTTTGCACTTTAAATGCTGATTTAAATATCACCAGCTTTATTAAGTATATCATATTAGACAGATTTCATTTAATTTTCAAAATATTTAAATTGAAACAATACTGATTCTTTATACAGGAGCAAGATTCTCAGTTCCGCTTCATAGCTTTAGAACTATGTGCAGCTACTCTAAAAGAATATGTAACAGAAAAGAATTTTGATCGTCATGGACTGCAACCTGTACAGTTATTAAGGCAATCCATGGCAGGCATTGCACACTTGCATTCCTTAAACATTGGTAGGTAATTGTTGTGCAGTATATTGTATGTTGATATTTTAAAATCTCTGCATTTTAACATTCCATGTTTAGCATTTTCTCCAAAAATCATGTTGTGCAAAATTCACATCAATTATGCTGTTTGGTGGAATATTTAGACTGTAATGATATTTATCCAAGGGCACAATATTATAGTCTTGGTGATGTAGTGGTATATGAAGTGAAATAATATTAGTGTCATTCTACATACTGAATTGTTTTATTACTGAGTACAAAAAATAGGCATTTATGTATATTTGCTCTAACCTTTCAGTCCACAGAGACATCAAACCTCATAATGTGCTGATTTCACTGCCCAACTCTCATGGTGCTGTCAGGGCCATGATCTCAGACTTTGGCCTCTGTAAAAAATTATCAGTGGGCCGAATGTCTTTCTCACAGAGGTCAGGCATGGCTGGGACTGAAGGCTGGATTGCACCCGAGATGATGAATGATGACCAGAGAACAGTAAGTAATTTCTTCATGGAGATTGCTCTTCAGACTTTTGGAGATATTTTTTGGATCATAAATCACTATTTGTATCACTACCTGAAGAGATGATTATATATGAGTGGACAGTTTGTATTCATACTTTTGAAATCGACAGCTGAGCCCTCAATTTAAGACAATTTATAGTTACTAGAGTTCTAGGATAATGGAAGTAGGAGATTTTGCAACTGCAAATTACCAAACAATAACTTTTTTCTGTCTTTCCTTCTTTATTTTTGCCAATGTTCATTTCATTGGACATTTTCTATATTGTAGACTTGTGCAGTGGACATCTTCTCAGCAGGCTGTGTGTTCTACTTTGTGTTGTCATCAGGAAAACATCCATTTGGGGATTCACTGAGAAGACAGGCAAATATCCTGAATGGAGAATATTGCCTAGAAAAACTTAGCACTGGCAGTACTAGTGGTAAGTGTGTGTGTGTAGTCAATATGGTGAAGGAGAGCCACATAGTATATTTCGTATATTATATTAACCTGGCATTGGTAAGGCAAATTAATAATGCTTGTTTGCCAAAGGTGACTTGTAGACAAAATAAAGTGACAGAACTTCTAAGAGTGTTGGAGTTTAAAGATGTGTTCAGTAATGAAAATTGTGCAGATTGACCCTTCTATCGTATAGTTATAACATTACTTAGTACATGATGAATACAGTGATAAAATCTGGTCAGTAAAATGCATGAATGAAATGCATTGTGATATTGCTTGCTGTGTGTGTGTGTGTGTGTGTGTGTGTGTGTGTGTGTGTGTAGTTTGAAGTATAAAACAGTTATCTTTTCTCATGAACTTTTAAGAACCATTTCTGTATTCTAGGTAATTATGTGGCCACTGACTTGCTGCAACAAATGTTACATGGAGACCCAGTCCTCAGACCCTCAGCCAAAGCCATCCTCAAGCATCCATTCTTCTGGGATAATGAGAAACAGCTCCTCTTTTTCCAGGTTAGACTTTAGTAATGCAAGAGATAGAATGGAAAAAAATTGTGAAATTAATTTAATATTCCCCTTTTGTATAACCAAGTTGCAAAATTGAAAGTATAAAATTTTATTATTCAGGGTTTTTCAACATTTTGTATTCTTGGTATAAAGATATGTACTCTCATTTGTAGTAAAGCTTGTTCTTATACAGACGACTGCCTTGTTTGCAGGATGTAAGTGACAGAATTGAGAAGGAACCTCCTACCAGCTCAGTGGTCCAGTGTTTAGAAAACCAAGGCATGGCTGTAGTGAAGTATGACTGGAGGGCTGTGATTTCTAGAGAGCTTCAAGAAGGTAAAAAAAATGAGGATTAGTTTTACAGAAAAACTTTGGTCAAAAGTGTGACTTATATAAAAGACTTCAAATTCTGTCTGCTTTATTCTGGGATGAATCTACAGCCTCATGACACAGCTACATTAAGTGTACAACTTTTCTGTTTATTTTTCACTTTTTGCTGTTTTTCAATGTATGTTTTTCACTTTTTTTCTCTGAAATTACCTGGATATCAACAAAATGACTCTAAATGCCTGTTTTCTTTAATAGATTTAAGAAAATTCAGATCATATAAAGGCTGCAATGTGAGAGATCTGATACGTGCAATGAGGAACAAGGTAAGGCTTTTTTATTCTGAGTGAGTGGATTTGTAATTCATTGTGTACAAATCTATTTTTATTGGTTATCTCTATTTTTCTGTATTCAAGCATTAGGCAATCCGGCCATTGCTTGTAAATATAAAGCGAGACATGTTGCTTCAGTTACCTTTAGTTAAGTGTAAATAAATGATGAAATTGTTACACTATGTTTGTTTACAACATACAGACAAACATGAACTGATGAAAATCCTAAGCTGATATAAGCTGTTTACAATTACTTTTATGTTTTCCTGTGCAAATATTTACTCTACCCTTTTGTACCAAGTGTTTCACCCTAAACAAAGCAAGTAATCTAACTTAGCACTTTTATAATTTGCCTTCAGAAACATCACTACAGAGAACTGCCAGATGAAGTAAAAAGATCATTAGGAAGTGTTCCAGATGAGTTTGTGACCTATTTCACATCTCGTTTTCCAAAACTTTTAATCCACACGTATAATGCCATGTGGTGCTGTAATGAGGAAAGACTGTTTCAGCAGTATTATGAGTCTGATAGCAATGCAGCTTCATCTTCGGCAGCAGCAGCATTATGCCAAACAGGAGTGACAGACAACTCTGCATTTAAGCACTATGTAACAGCTGATGCTGCATTTGATGATACAGGCCAGGAAGAGTGAAAACTCTACATAGAGTGCAAGTTTTTAAGTAAAATAGCACATCTGTTGATGATACATGTTTGATGAAAAGATAAGACAAATAATGATTAAATGAGGAGATTGGAGGACAAATTTTTAGATTTTGAGTAGCCATAAAATGTGGTACTGTTGCACAGAGAAAAAAACAAGTTTGGGAGATGGCTAGGGGAAATTGTAGCAGCAAGAATCTGACAGGAAGATCCAAAATGGGTTGCTATGGAAATCGAATGTTCCAGTCTCCACAACTACAATCTGTTAATTTCGCTGGAAATGCATTTCTGTGGAACTTTTTTTTTTGGTGCAACTACTTCTGATGTACATTTATAAAGTTCACTTGAAAATATTTAAAAAAAAATATTTCAGGGTTTTTTACATTTTTTTTCATAAAGGCATTTTAGATAAGAAATTTGTATGTTAAGATGAGAACTTTATGACTCACAGCAAGTCTTTCAGTCTCTGCTAAGAAAACCAATGTCTTTTATGGCAAGGTATTAGGAATGTGAAGATTATTTTCTAGACAAAGAGTCTGTAAGCAGGGATAATATTTAACTTTGAAAAGTTGAATGTTTTGTGTATTGAATAAATATTTTTGTAGAAGTAGACCATTCCTGTCAAGATAAAGATTCTTGTGAGATGTGTGCACTTTTGGTAAAAATGCTCCTCTTAATCGAAAAAAAAAAAAAGTCCAGTGGTGACTGTTGGAGAGAAGATTGATACTCTAAAACAATTTGGGTGTATCTTTATCAAACGCAATTATTTATTTATTACTTTTAAAGGCATTATTTTTATTGTCACAAGGTTGGATGGTCAGGCAGCCATCATTTTTTTCATAAACTTCTGATCAGGAAAAAATGTTTATGAAGTTTTCTTGTTGCAGATTATATGTGGATCTATCATATTTATTGGGTACATGCCAAAAATTCTTACAGTAATTAGATCATTTTATTCAGAATTATGTTGGGTGATGGTACATGCAAGTTTGTGTGCAAATAGGATTTATTCTTGTACAAAGAACTCGACTGCTCCATTTGTACTCACAAATGATGCAATATATCCATGAATTCATGGAAATAATTGCCACAGTAGGAGTAATATATTTTCACTTAAAAAACCCATGCATAAATACCTGCAAACACCCAGATAAATATTTATGAATGTGTATTGTTGATATTCATATTGATAAACAGAACTATTAGGTTTACATATTTTTATTGTAAATTCTGTAAGCATAATTTGTGCAACATATTACATTGTACAATAAAAGCATATTTTTAGAACTCTCAGTACAGTAACTGTAACAGTTGAACATGATATAACAGTCCCTGAAACATGGATCATACAGACAAACCCTGGTCAGACCAAAGAAAGTGACCATGGTATTTACGACTGTATTTTCATTATTCACAACTAGCAGAACATAACATAACTGCTTGTCTACATCTGACAGAATAAAAACAACCATTTTTCATGTCTAAACTATTCAGCTGTTGCAGTGTAACAGTCTGATGTCTTCATAAGTTTTTATATTTGACAAAGCACCAGATACAGCCAGAAATACATTTCAAAAGATAAAGAAATTTATCATGAAAAAAAAAGCAACTGGATGACTGTTTAACATAAAATGTAAGTTTGAACCCCACGTTTTCTTAAGCAGTGTGTAAAAGATTCCATGGTCATGGTTAACTTGCCTCTATCTGATTCCTAAAGTTAATATGAAGTAAACAAAATGCACATTAAAATAATAACAGCAAAACTATATACTAGTATGCATAATAACTTGTGGTTGTAAGTTTTCTCATAAAAAAATGAATATACCAAAGGTATATATATTATGGTATAGAACTTGTAGTCTAAAACAATAAAACCTTAGCAAAAGCAATGTAAAATATACTTTCCAATTAAAAACAATTAATATTCAAAGCTAAACAAAATGAAAATTGCACACAACAAACAAGGCTATGTAAAGAGATTCAGATGCAAAAATAACATTGAAAGCATCACAATAACAGATCTTTTTCATAAAAGAATGATATGTAATAAACAAATACACCTTAATAAAATGTAAAACAGGAGTCATGCTGATGCCCATAATAACTTCATTAGTAAATAAATGTTAGTAAAACGAGCTATTCTACTGGAGGTCCACAATGTAAAATACAATTGTTTACGAAAGTCATTCCGATTCACTGCTTTCAGAGGAAAGTGCAAGTTCAGTTTGGATATCATTCATAGCAAGGTAATCTAGCAGCCTTTGTGGCAACGGCAGAGTTTTTAACTTCTGGAGAAATAATCGCCCGGCTTCTTGGTGCAGGACCTGTCTTCTTATTGCAACCCTGCATTGTCTCTGTAAGTTGGGTGGAGTGGAAAGCTCATCTTTCAACCACCTGCAGAATTCCACATCCTCAGCTACCCGAGCAGGTAGACTAAGCCATATACCTTGCTCTTTTGTGATGTTATAACCAGTGTATGCCAACAACTTTATGATATCCTTATGACAGTGAAACATGCACCAATGTAGTAGTGTCTTAGTCCTTGATTCTCCAGGGAAGTTAACACAAGCACCGTTAAGAATAAGCATGGCTGCCATTTTCTCCCTACGAGGATATTTAAGACTAAGATAGAGAGGAGACTCATTCCACATCTCTGATATATTAATCTTAGCCCCGTATGATATTAAAAGTTCTACAATGTCTATTCTTCTCTGTCGTGTTGCCATCCAGAGAGCTGTATGATTATAGTTATCCACAGCATCAATATCAGCACCTTTATTAAGTAGAATCGTCATCATTTCTTTGTTTCCTACGCGACATGCAGCAACTAGCAAAGGCTCAATGCGCCCTTTCCCATCATTGGATGGCATATCCAAATCTATCTCATCAGCATTATTGAGGATCCAATGAAAGATGCTCTCTCTATTTTTGTAGAATGCCATTGCCAAGGCTGTGGCACCCCGGAAAGTTTGGTTGAGGTCTACGTGATCGGTTTCTACCAGTTTCATCACTGTTGGAAGATCGTCTGCCACCACTGCCCCAAACATGTTACAAATGTGAGGTGTCATGGTTTTTGATGTCATGGAAACAGGTATATAAATAGAGTTTCTAGAACGTCATGGAACTGCAGTGAAGTTGGTACAAATCATTGTAGAAATTAAGAAGGTTAGGACCTGGGGAAAAAAAAAACAGTTTTGGTATTCAGGTATTATCTCATCTTCTCTCCTACGCATTTATGGTTAAGAGAAGCAACGATAAAATATTCATGAATTAACGTTATCACTAGGAACTATGTTTACAAGATACAGTACGTGTACCTTACTGTAAGTTAGCACATTCACATTTATCATCCTTGAAATACTATCTTCTTAATTATTAATGTATCCCATCTTATATGTCATGAGAAGCGTTGACAGCAACCAATATTAAATGCTAACAAAAGTTTATCAAATGCACCTTAATCATCGACCTCCTGAACAAAAAATTAAAGAAAAGAAAATACCTCCGTGCAATTTTTAACAGTCTACATAATACATGTTACACTAACAACACTGTCAACAGTAACCAGCACTGTATTTCCCGATTTCTGTGAACCGTCATTTATACAAATTGACTCGAATTTATATAAAGATCGCAACACATACCTTTTCGCCAAGTTGATCCTCTTGCACAAAGACCAACGCTTCGCCTGGCATGGTTTCATGCGATCTTAATAAATATCAAAACCCATAAATGGGCACATCACAAGGGGGGATTCCATACTGCTGGAAATTTACTTTAACTTCACGTCTGATTGGATAAAAATGGACGAATTAAACCTTGACCAATCACGACCCAAATTTATCAGTGACGCGGGCCTGTAAATAGCTTGTTTTCATTCAGCAAGTTCTTGACAGCGGTAGTCGACAGGGATAAGTTGTAAAATTATGACTAAAGCATAACCACAATTATGCCGACAATATTAAGAGCAAAGTGTATAGTAGTTGGTAAGTATATCTGGCATATATTTAGTTCTCCCTGAATCTAATACCTGACCATAACAGTATTCGACCGCATCTCAAATATGCTGTACGTGCTTAGTCCCTGATGCAGTGACGAGTGATGTTGTAATTGGAACTTGATCCCAGTGCAGCCGTTCAAATATTTAGCCGCTATCACTATTACTTTTGTTTTTAGCTAATTTATGCTGTTCTATAATAATAGGGATCAGACTGAGTGCCCAGTTAATGCGTTTTGTAACAGTAACCATCGCCAACAACCATTCTTTTTAACTACAGGTGACTCTACTGTTGGCAAGAGCGCTTTAACACAAGTCTTTCACAGTGATGGGACACATTATCCTAAAAATTACACACTGGTATGTTTTATTTCTTATATTCTGTGATGTCACTAAGTCACAACCTCTCAGAAGTGTGAGTTGGTATATAAATTAAATTAGGCTAGCTTAATAGTTGCTACATAGATACAAAATACATCTTAGAAAAAAAAGGGCTCTGAATTTTTAAATGCATAGCTGACGCTTTGATTAATTATATTTTGTGTGGCCATAAATTAAGTTTTTCAGTTGAGTTTTTTGTAATCCAGTATATCCTTATTTTTCTTACAGACAGCAGGGGTAGAATTGTTGGTCAAAGCGGTTAACATTCCAGATTCTAATGACTGTGTGGTAGGTTGCATTTGTTATAAATATTGTAAACAATAGAATTTTTATTACCTCTGTCAGGGAGGTTATGTTTTTGCTTTTGTTGGTTTATAAGTAAAAAATGTAACTCAAAAAGTTATAGACAGATATTCATAAGCATTTCAAGGTAGATAAGAAATGGGCTCACTTAGAATCAGTTAAATTTGGTGGTGATCCATGGATTGATTGTTTAATTAATTGACAATAGTCTGCATTCTTTGAGTGCTTTTTTTAGTTTAGGATTGAATTTGCCACTTTCGAAATTAATTCTTAATATTCAAAAGATGAAAACACATTGTTGGAAATGTTAACTTTTATTAATGCTTCAGTAATTTTTTTTCTAGGAGCTCTATATTTATGATTCTGCGGGGAAGGAAATATTCTATGAGATTGTACAGAAGCATGTAAGAAATTAGTGATTGCATAAATTTTAAAGAAAATACCGAATTCTGTGATATATGATCTTGTCATATTTAGTTGTAAGGGCATGAAACAAAATTTCATTCTCAAACTAAAAATAACAAAGAACTTCAACAGGACTACTAGTAGTTAACTTATTTGTGTTATTCAGGTTTTAGCTAATTATCAAGGAAAAACTTATTATTCCTGTCAACATGCAATGAATGTTTTAGTTATTTAATTAAGCATTTCTATTTCAGTGGGACCATCCATCAGTTGTAATGTTGGTGTATGATGTCACTAGTGAGACTTCATTTGATAGCTGTGCTAAATGGCTGGAGAGAGTGAGATCTCAAAAACCTGAAATGCAATTTCCAGGTGGGTACTACATTCTTTACAGTAGTATTTCCTACAAGACTTCACAATATCATGGGGGAAAGTTTTTGGGATTATGTTTCAGGATTTGCGGTCTTCAATTTGATAATTTTATTTTTCATATGGTCTTAATGTAGCCAGAAATTGCAAACTACTTTTTGTTTTAATTTTCACTTTTACAGCTTTCACCCGTGCAATGTTTTAAATGTTTTTCAACTGTACATGCAAAAGCTACATTTTGAAAAGGTAATTCACCTCGCCAAGAATAATGTCAATTGAAAATGGCAAGAAAGTCTTGGCACAAAGCTTTTTAAGGACAGTATATAGCAAAATGAAAAAAAAAAAAAAAAAAACGTCTGATTTATTCACTTTTGACTGACTTTTTTCTCTGCCAAAGCATTTTTTTCTCCATAGATTATGAATGATACAAAAAATTGAATGTTTTTACCAGATTTAACAGATTAATATTTCAAGTGTTTGAATGCCAAATGGAAAGTGACAAATGGAAAATATGTTACATTGTTTTTGTGTAAATCACTCATTTTAAATATGTTACGGGGTATTACCTATAGATTCCAAACTTTTTAAAAGTTTTACTATAATATTTTACTGATGCTAGTTGATGTTTATTATTACATTTTTAGTGGTGTAATTTATGAAAATATTAAATGTTACAGTCAAAAATATTGCATATGTGAACAGTTCTTGAAAAATCTCAGATGTTCATTTAATTTGACATTATAATATAGTATTATTAAAAATCATTATTATATCTGCAGGAGTTTTGGTAGCAAATAAGATTGACCTGGACCAGAGGAGGGTTATCAGCCCCAAGGCAGGCAAAGATTTTGCACAATCAAATGGACTGGAGTATTTTGAAGTTTCAGCAGTAAGTTTTATATTATACTATTCAGTTATGATTATCATTAACAGAAACCATACTTTAATATATGTGTCGTCAATTTCATGGCAATTTTAATGACAAGTAAATCAATACATATGCCTGAAGCAGTTAGGGCTTCATTAAAACTGAAAATCTTTTGCCTTTTGGCTTTCTCTCTTTTCATGCTTTTGATTAATTGACATAATTTTTCTTTCAGAAAGAGATGCAGCAGGTGGAGGCTCCATTCTATTTCCTGGCTAATGAATTCCACAAAATGTATAAAGAAAGGCTGGAGCAATTTAAGACATTAGCCTGATGACAAATTGAGAAAATTTCATTACAGATTAATTATATGTGAGCCGTAAATTTTTTTGTCATTATGAAGTGAGGACAAAGTCTGGTTTCAGTTATTGCATTCTTTTGAATCAATTTATTTTGATTTGTACTTTAAATGTTCAACCTGGCCATAAAGTTTCTGAATATTGTTCAAACATAAAGTGCTTTTAGTTTGTTGAGGACATATACACTGGAACTGTATCATGATGCACAATGGACTTTCTCTATACTCAGTATCAATGCCCTGGGATCAGCAGACTTGGGCAAATGGCATACTGCAAAAGGAAAGTCACTCTATTCCTAGACAGTATAATTTGTTGTTAACTTTATGTTGCTGAATGCATTTTTTTTTATCTTAAACTGATCCCGTCCAAGTTTTTATACAGAAGTTTTAAGTAGTGCGTGTAATATGAGTATATTAACAATTCCAAAATAAATTATTTTATAACAGTACTGTGTTTTTGTAGTGTACATATGTTGTTAAGTGAGTTGTGAATCCATGAATTAGTTATAACACATATTTGCACACATTTTTTGACGTTTACTTCCACTTACAATACAATTTGAAATTAGCAGAAATATGACTTGATTTTGAAGGTATTAGAATCCACAAAAATGCCAGGAAAATATCTTTAAATGGAATTTTTTAAATTAGTTTTCTGATATCATTTTACATGATTATCATAATGTTATCATTATTGTTTTGGCATGTTCAAATAAAGAGGAATTTCCAATGATACTTCTATCCCTCAACATAAGTGGATGTACATTAGAGTCAAATTTTCATTATGAAATGTGGACTGGGGAAGTCGGATTTTCATGGGATTAAGATTTTCATGTTAAACTGGTATTGTCAAAAAACTTTTCTTCTGAATTATCACCAGGTAGTCTAATTAAAAAAAAAATAATAAGAAAAGTAACACTGACATCCCTTCCATTTTATCTATAACAAAACCCATACAATTTATCAATATCTGAAATTATTTACATAATTTATGCTTAAAAGGGGGCATTGCGGCAGTGGATCTGTCAACCAAGGAGACCAAGGAGTAACTCCTTGTGTCAACTGTCTTGGATGCAACAGATGGCAGCACCTGCTGGTCTTTAAGAGAAAATACCAAGAAAAGCTTCATTAATACATTTTATAACGCTTTTAGTGTGAAATATCATCAAAATGATACAGAAACCTACATCTATAAGGTATAGTATTACTCAGGCTTAATGTGTACAAATTGAGCAGTTAAACTTATCATCATAACATATAAAAGAAAGTCTATGCTCAGTGGTCTTAAATTCTAAATAAAAAAAAATAAGAAAAGTAACACTGACATCCCTTCAATTTTATATATGACAAAACCCACACGATTTATCAATATCTGAAATTATTTATATAATTTATGTTTAGAAGGGAGCATTGCAGCATTCTTCGTCAACACAGAAATCAATGCCATTTTTGCTAGTGTGTCTTGGATGCAACAGATGGCAGCACCTGCTGGTCTTTAAGAGAAATTATCAAGAAAAGCTTCATTGATACATTTTATAACGCATTAAATGTGAAATATCATCAAAATGATACAGAGACCTACATCTATAAGGTATTACTCAGGCTTAATGCGTACAAATTGAGCAGTCCAATTTATCATCATAACATATGAAAGAAAGTCTGTGCTCAGTGGTCTTAAATTCTAAATAAAAAAAATAAGAAAAGTAACACTGACACCCCTTCAATTTTATCTATAACAAAACCCATACGATTAATCAATATCTGAAATTATTTATATAATATATTTAGAAGGGAGCACTGCAGCATTCTGCGCCAACACAGAAATCAATGCCATTTTTGCTAGTTTGTCTTGTATGCAACAGATGGCAGCACCTGCTGGTCTTTAAGATAAAATATCAAGAAAAGCTTCATTGATACATTTTGAAACGCTTTTTTGTGAAATTTCATCAAATTGATATAGAAACCTACATCTATAAGGTATTAGTCAGACTTAAGGCGTACATACTGAGCAGTCAAACTTATCGCCATAGCACATGAAAGAAAATCTATGCTTGAATTCAAAATTTAGGACTGTCATCCTTGCACATGCGCAGATGTATAAATTCTTTGAGAAGCAAATCCGCTGGTTGTGAAGGAAGCTTTCAGAGACAATTATATTCATTTAACCCAATCATTTAATTTCAAGTAGAGCAAAACAATCTGTCAAAATGATGGCAGCACTGCAGTTAAAAGAAGGCGAGGCAACAGCGACGGTGTACTCAATGGTAAGCCAGAAATTTGCAGTGTTTGTTGTTGCAAAATTGGCAATCAGGGATCAGCCATTTGATAGTACTAGTCCTGTTATTTGGTTAATTGCATGTGTTTATGATACTTTATATTGCTTAAACATTTAAATATTACTTTCAAGGTTTATGAAAGCATAAACAACACACACACACACACACACACACACACACACACACACACACACAAATATGCTTTCATAAACCTTGAAAGTAATATTTTAATGATAACATATATCAAGCGGCAATATTTTTGAAGAGATGAACACAGCAGCTGGACTGGAGCCTGAATAACCTACAAACATGTACTAGTAATTCTAAGTTCTAGAATATATTTTTTATTAAAATTGAAAAATGTTCTATATTTTTACAGATTAAAGATCAAAGATACAATGAAGCAGTCCAAATTCTTAATGACCAACTCCAAAGAAATGCAAGGGTAAATACCACAACCTCTTGTGCTTTAATTTACATTGCAAACGTGGAATTTACTGAACACTCTAAATGTGCTTTGGCTAGTTTGGTGTTCAGCCAAATACCAAAAAATATAAAATGTACTATTGCAGGTATATATATATATATATATATATATATATATATATATATATATATATATATATATATATATATTAACTGGCACTGTGTTTGATATATAGTAAGTCTTTTTAGACCTATTATTAGACTTTCAAAGATTTAATTGTCTTGAATAATTCAAGTTTTTAGTAAAACTTAGCATTCTTAAAATGTTTAATATTTTTTTCTTTTACAATTATTACACATGCTACAGTAGTAAATTTTAAATACACCTTAAAAATACACCTTGCAATATTTCACACCAAGTCTATAATGTTTGAATAGTTTTCATTTTTTCAGATTTGTGATTAAGTTTTGTCAGTAGTAAACTTGTTATTAATAGGTAAATTTTTGTTTTGAAATATGATTTTTGTAGATGTATTAATGAGAGTTAAATACATGTATTTATTAGATTTTTAGTACCATTGAAACATGTTCTAAGATTCTTCCATGCTGTTATTTTCTTGTTTAGTCCAGGGCAGCTCTGTCATTGCTGGGTTACTGTTACTACCAGCAACAGGACTTTGTGAATGCATCAGACTGCTATGAACAACTGACTATCAATTACCCTGAGGTAGAAGAGTACAAACTGTACTATGCACAGTCCTTGTACAAAGCTTGCCTGTATGCAGAAAGTATGAAGGTGGCTTGTCAGATAGATAAGCCAGAATATCAGGGTAATGTAAGTATCATCTTTACATGCATATTGTCACTGTATGTTAAACATGTAATAATGTGCAGACTTTATGACAAATGTTTGTAGGTAATATAAATGGGAAATATTTTTGATAACTTAATTACTTTTAACTGTATATTCATATTTTTGGCTAAGTTGGCTTTTAAAATTCAAAAATAATCTACATTTACCTTTTGTTTTACTGAAAATAGCATGTGGATCACTTAATAATCACAGTAATTAATTGTGTCATCTTAACATTTGCAGATAGTCAAAATGCAAGCTGCCATCAAATATGGTGAGGAAGACTTTCAGGGTGCTAAGGTAAGCATGATATAAAGAACTGTAGCTCAACTTCAACATGCAAAATGCCAAGTGAATAGAGACATGATTTTTTATGTAGAGCCTAAATTACTGTGTTGTAAGTTGTAATGCAGTGTTTGTTATTGCAGAGCCTTGTAGAACAATGTCCTGCCGATGACCCAGATACTGAGATCAACCTCGGATGTCTCTTGTTCAAGGTAAGGCATTTTAAATATTGCATGATGTATTTTAAACAAATGATATGATAACATCATGATTCAGTTTGGTTGGGAAGGCATTTTGCCCAAGTGTTCCTTTTCTTTAAAAATTTAAGATAAATAGTTGAAGCAAAGATGGTGCCAACTTGACATTCAGGTCATTTATCCCTAATAAGTGATAGATTTTCATTTTTCAGCTATTTGTAAAGCTTTAAGATTGAAAATAAGTGTGCACTTATCAATAAATGCTTGTAATCAGTTTTTTGTTTGTTTATATCCACCTTTCCCTTGATAGCAAGCCTTGGATATGTGTAGTGAAGAAATAAACCAGAAAAGAGATGTTTCCATGTATTTGATATTTATAAAACGACAGCCAAAGTATTTATGAATTATTTAACTTAATATTTTTCAGGAGAATCGTTATGACGAAGCATGTCAGAAGTTCATGACAGCCATGCAGGTTGTGGGTTACAAGGCTGACTTGTCGTACAACATAGCCTTGTGTCATTATATGATGAAACAGTATGCACCAGCCCTCAAACATATAGCTGATATCATTGAGAAGGGGATCAGAGAGCATCCAGGTTTGTATATGTTATGCTATAGCTAAATATATATATGTGCATGTGTGGGAGCATGCTTGCATGTGTAGGTGTGTGTATGTGTGTCGGGGATCAGGTTGGAACTCAGCTGGAGTGTGCATTTCCATTTTAATTATGCTCACAGGGAACCACTTTAAATGATATCATCAGTCAGATTTAGTGATTATGGAGTTGCCATTCCAGTAGTTGCCTGCTTCCTTGTTGTGGGTTAGGTTAATCAGTGTAACATTCAGCAGAAGATGGTATTTGGTGTAACATTAACATTGCAGTTTATCTTTTTACTGTTATTTCAGAATTGAGTGTTGGGATGACAACAGAAGGGATAGATGTCCGCAGTGTGGGCAACACTCTAACTCTTCATGAGACTGCACTCATTGAAGCATTTAACTTGAAGGCAGCCATTGAATACCAACTGAAAAATTGTGAGTCTAATTAGCTTGAAATCAGGATTAAATGCAGACAAAAACTGCATGCTGCACATGTGCATGGTTAACACTTATTTTAAAAAGAGGAGTCAGAATGTGGGATGATGAATACTTTGAAAAAATAAGCTCCAAAATGTGGGATGATGAATACTTTGAAAATAATAAGCATCAAAAATTAAAATGGGATGATGTTTTTTCAAGCTTTGAAAACCCCCAAGATTCCAAAGTAAAATTATTTTAGAATTGTACAGTGTAAGATTTATTGAAAAGTAAAAGAGAGATTTCACTGTTCACTGTCAATGTGTGCATCTCCAGATGAAGCGGCCTGTGAAGCTCTGACAGACATGCCTCCTCGCTCTGAAGAAGAACTGGACGCTGCCACCCTTCACAACCAGGCACTCATGAATATGGAGACCAGTCCAACACAGGGATTTGAAAAATTCCAATTTTTACTCCAGCAAAATCCCTTCCCACCGGAAACATTTGGGAATCTTCTGTTGCTGTATATTAAATATGAGGTTTGTTTCAAGTTATGTCATTGTCTTGCTATAATACAACTGACCATGTAAGTTTGCCTCATTCTCATATTAAAACCATTAAGTCTTTATGTTTAAGAAAGTGATAATTATATCTTATTTTGATATTTAAAGGCCAGAACAACCTAGCTTAATAGTAAATTAAAGATTAATTGAACATGAAATCATTTTAGCAACAGCATATCACTGTTGCATATTTTTTCTTCCTGTGTAGTACTATGACCTGGCAGCAGATGTCCTGGCAGAAAACATGCATCTAACAGACAAGTACCTCACACCTGTAAGAATTTATGCTTTATCTACCTATCTTGGATAATCTTTGTAAAACAAGGGGATGAAAATGTGTGTGGGTGTCTAGGAGGATGGCATGAAAAAAGAGATGTTGGAGTCATAGTTTGTTGACTTTTTTGTTTTGACTCAGTTGTTCATGTACCATATTTTTCCATAGTGTGTGTTTGTGTGCATGCGTGTGTGCATGGGTGCATGTGTGTGTGTGTGTGTATGTGTACAACAGTTATATATATGTGGATCATTTTATCTTTCAGTACCTGTATCATTTCCTTGAAGCTGTGATAACCAGGCAGACATCTCCAGAGGAGGCTTACAGGAGACTGGATGAGATGGCCAGCCAGCAGACTGAAATACTGCGAAAATTGACAAAGCAGGTGGGTAGAGTACTTATAGGCTCAGTTGCTTATACATATGTTTACAAATGTTGTTTTAGTGTATGTGTACTAATTACTACACACACAAGGAAGTTTACGTAACACACACACACACATGTACATGCGTGATATACAACTCATTCAGACAGGTGAAAGGAAATTACCATTTTTCCTCTGAAGCAAACACGGGCAAGGGAAAAATGAATTTTTCTTATTCAGGTTTGGTGCAAACAGTTTTTATAGGAAATACTTTCAACTTTTTACTTTACCTACAGGTTCAAGAGGCACGCCAGAGTCATGATGATGAGGCTGTGAAGAAGTCTGTCAATGACTATGATGAGGCTTTGGAAAGGTTTGTGTCAATTCATACACAGTGCCAGAAGTAGCAGTTTTTATTTTTTATTAATTGTTTTTTTATTTGGATTTATGTTAATTAAGTTCATCTTAGTTGAAATCAATTATATATGGGGATAACTCTCAGTGCTGTTTTTAAACATTCATAATGGCAGATAATTTTAACTTCTTTAGATACATTCCTATCCTGATGCAACAGGCAAAGATATACTGGGACATGGAAAACTACCAACAAGTGGAAAAAGTTTTCAGGAAATCTGTGGAATTTTGCAATGAAAATGATGTTTGGAAACTCAATGTGGCACATGTCCTGTTCATGCAAGAAAATAAGTTCAAAGAAGCTACAGGATTTTATGAGCCTATAGTAAAGAAAAATTATGAAAATGTAAGTCTATAATGAGACTGCTCTACTTTTAAAATTAATTGATATTATGTGATTGATTTTTATATACTTATAATATGGTACTTCTATTTCTGTAAGAGTTAATGAGCCTGTAGTAAAAAAATATCAATAATTTAATAAGTAATACCTTTTTGTTGATGATAACAATTTCTTTTTCTTAAATCCTACTGAATTGTTTAGTTCTAATTATACTTAAGGATTTCATTGAAATTACTTATATTGATATTTTCAGATATTAAGTGTCAGTGCAATAGTCCTGGCAAACCTCTGTGTTTCATACATTATGACCAGTCAGAATGAAGAGGTAGGTTGATAATTCAGGAATTTGTAATCTCCATCAATAAATATTCCTGTTGTATATATTATTGTAGCTAATAAACCTCTTGCTAATTATATTTTCATTATTGCCTAAATTATGTATATTTTTTCTTGAAAATGGTTAATTTATTTTTATAACAGATGTCAATATGTCAGTGACAATGTTTAAATCAGAGTTGTTTAATTGCACTGTGATTACACATACAAAAACTAGCAGGTGAATTGTGTTTCAGTAGCACACATTTTAAATAGACTATCAAACTATCGTTAATTCTGTATGATGTCAATCTGATAGGCTGAGGAGTTAATGAGAAAGATAGAGAAAGAAGAGGAGCAGGTTGCGTATGATGACCCAGATAAGAAGATTTACCATCTCTGTATTGTCAACTTAGTCATAGGGTAAGAGGACATAACAGTCATTGTTATATGATGACAGGTTGTACGTAATTTTGAAATGCCATTTTTATAATTTTTGAATTTTTTGTGAATTTGAACACATTTTTTGTGAAACATATTCACTAAAAGAAAATACTTTGAGTTCTTAAATTCTTTATTGAAGATTTTTTCTGGCCTTTGGTTTTTGCTTAAAACTGACAATAATATTTGTAACTGGTAAGACTTTAAGGTGTACGGTAGACTAAAGCAAATTATTGTTTAAAGCCTATTAAAAGGGGTTTTTTTTTCTTTAGTATTATCTGAAACTTATATTACGATCACCTAACTTGAATGTTTGCAAAACAGAAATACAAATCTGGTCTTAAAGAATGTGAAGTCTGCCGTATCGAAAAAAAGGTCATTTATTAATCAGTGTATGAAGTCTGCAATTTATTATGTGGCTACACTTCAGAACCCTGTACTGTGCCAAAGGAAACTATGAGTTTGGAATCTCTCGTGTGATAAAGAGTCTGGAGCCATACAACAAGAAACTGGGAACAGACACCTGGTTTTATGCCAAGAGGTGTTTCCTCTCCATGATTGAGAACATGGCCAAGCACATGATCATGATCAGGGATGGTGTGATACAGGAGTGCATTCAATTCTTGGAGCACTGTGAAGGTTAATAAATGTGCAATATATTGAGTTTGTGTCTATAAGTATTTTTATACTGTTAAGAAGAATATGTTTGATAACTTTGCACTCATGTTAAGGTGTACTTCAGATACATAAGGCTGCATAATTTGTCTTCAGAAAGTATAAAAAGGAAATTAAAAAGTAAATTTTGAGTGGGTGGTTGGGTGCGAGTTGCACCAAGAAACAATGAAAAGTTAAAGATAGTTCCAGGCACTTTTGGGAAAATTTTGTACATGAATGAATGAATTAGGACACCACTTATAAATGGCTTTGAGCATTTTTTCATTGTTCTTTGAATTCTTTACTGTTGTATTTGTAGTTTATGGGCGTGACGTGAAAACCATTGTTGAGCAACCTCTGGAAGAAGGCAACCTTCACCCAGGCAAAACCACAGCAACTTATGAGGCGAGGCTATTAAAAGATTTACTCCTTGACCTCATAGAATAAACAGAAGGACTATGATGTAGAAGTAAAAAAAAAAATGCACACATTTTGTCAATTATGTGCTATCAATTTGAAATGCTTTGAAGACTTTTTTGAATTTATCAGTTATCTAATGAATATCTGTATCTTTACAACAGGATAATGAAAATATATTTATCTTTAAAAAGGAACTCAAAACAGCATACAAAACAGCATACAAAACTGCACTCAAGAATGAATGTGCTCAATTTTTTTGTTTACAGCAAGTTTCTATTCTGTTGTACTGAAACATCTGGTAACTAAGTTAAAATAATTTTGTCTACAATTATGTAAATAAATTTTTCTCTTATAATATGTTCTTTAAAATAAAAAAAGTGAATTCCAAATAATTAAAATGAGGTGGCAATGTTTGTTTCATTTGAAAACCGACTTAACTTCATTGTAAATACATGTATGTCATTAAATTCAATGCTGGGTCACACATCTGAGGAGCCACTTTTGGGCAACACAGTCAGCAGTGTTGATATCCCTGGTCTATTTGAGGTGGTTGTTTCTGGAACAGTCCTGAGGGAGGTTGTCAATGGAGGTAGTAAGCTCTGCCTTTTAGAGGTCTCTGGAAGATTCTGTGGGTGGATGGTCAAGGGCTGGAGAAGTCCAGTTTTCCCTGCTACACCAAGAACAGGTGGACGTTTGCTTGATATTCTCTTCTTGGAATTAGTCGTTAGTTGTGTTTTCAACTCTGAACTGTGAAAAGTAGAAAAACTGATAGGTTTAAGTAGTCTTTGGTTCTTATCCAGTCTCAGTGGTACATGTGAAAGTGGTGGATTATGGAAAAATTCTGGGAAGGTAAGAGCAGCTGGTGGTGAGGAGAGGATGACTTCATCAGGGGCTGGTATGGTTTCCTCTTTAGTTTCGTAGGACAGACTGCTCTCTGTTGTTGGTGGCCTTTTTCTAAAACTATAAGAAAAGTAATTACAATTAACATTGGCATCCTTAACAACATGAAAACATACCTTTTGCGAACATAAGTGATATTTGTAAAGGGTTTCTTGCTAATGCTGGTTAGGTGAGGTATCATTAACGTTTCAAGATGTCATTAATATCATTTGACAACCATATGGTCCATTTATTCATCTACAATTGGGTCTTTCAAAGTAGGGGATTTATTCTAGATATCCATTTGGAGAATTAATTACTTAATAAGCCTAACTGTGTTTATTCTGTCATTGATGTACATCAGTGTGAAGTGCTATAGCTACACAAGGGGTGAGATATTTAGTAAGTTAATGTACATTTATGATGGACTGGATATAAAGAACTTAAGCTGAAGGAGGAGTCTTTTAATTTCCGATTGACGACAATCTGTTCTTTCTTGTATCTTGATATTTTTTCCCTGTGAGGTCTCATAAATTTAAAAAAAAAAGGAATGCAGGTAAAACTATGGAAAGACAATGTACAAGGCCAGAGAATCATTATTTTGTATTGCCAACTCCAAGCAGGTGAGTGCATGGTCTTGATTGATGTTATATCTAAATAACTAATTAATTTATCATAATAATTATCTTTTGAATTGTACAACTATTTGCATATTGGGTTTAAGGATGTAGCAAGTATTATTCCTCTGATTGTCACACAAAAATCATCACTTTAACAAAGAAAAATAAGATTTAAAAAATCTTCGATGTCCTGTTTTTTAGGAACTTGAGTACAATATTTATTGGACACAACCATGTAAAAATTTATCACATAAGCGTGGACTTACCGTTTGTAATAAATCAGCAGCAGTAGTCCCACTGTCAGCAAAATGCCAATAACAACAAAGATGAATGCCCAGTCAGGTAAAGTCCCCGGTTCAAGAGACACCGTTATGTCTTGAAAAGTGTCAGTTTGATTATAAGTTGTAGAGGTTGATGGTGATGATGATGTGGGATTTATTGAAATATTAGGGATAGTCTTTGGTGGACTAATAAACGCTGAATGGGTAGCTGTAGTAAGTATCATCCCTTGGGTTGTCATAGAAGGGGAGATGACATGTAATGAAGTCAAAGGTGAATATGTTTTGCTTGAGAGTGTTGAAGTTTGGGCACTAAGAGCTGTGGAAGTTACTACTGTAACAGCACTTGGCGTCTTAATTGCTGAGATAATACTGTTATAACTTATGGGCTCTGATGTTGAGTACAAGTGACCAGAGGCATGTGGTGTTGAATGTATAGAGCTAAGGGGCAGGGTATCTACTGGTACAAAGGATGAGTAAAAAACACTTGAAGAGGTAGAATGGAAGAGATTGCCATTAAGGGAGGTATGTCTTATCCAGTGGGTACCTGAAGAAGTTGTCCTGTGGGAGGTAGCTGATACAGTTGCAAGTAAAGATGCAGTAAAAGCCCTTGCAGGTGAAGATTGAGGTAGACTGGTTACATCTGATGAGGCAGTGAGGACTGTAATGTTTAAAAGTTGGTTTGCTTGAGATGAGGGGTTTGGGGAGGTAGCAGCTTGAGATGTAAGACTAAAGGATGTGGTGAATTTAGGTAGGGGACTTGGAAGTGGGATAGTTGCAGTTGATAGATGTAAGAGTGGGGTAGTTTCAGTTAATGGGTTAAGGAATGAGGAGGTAGCCGATGAAACAATTAGGAAATGAGAAGAGCCATATAAAAGGCCTGAGGTAGTGGTTAGTTGAGATATAAAGCTATTTAGGGGAAGGGTAGTTTCAGATGACAAGACTGGGAGTGGAGTTCCTTCAGATGAAAAGCTAAATGGTGTGCTTGGTTCAGATTGAAGATTTAAGGATGTGGGTGGTTCAGATGGAAGGCTTAAAGATTCAGTTGGTTCAGATGGAAGGCTTAATGATTTCGTTAATTCAGATGATTCAGTTTGAAGGCTTAAGAATGTGGCTGGCTCAGATTGTGGGTTAAGAGATGAGGTTTGATCAAAAAGAAGACTGAGGGGTGTGATTGGTTCAGTTGGAATGCTCAGGGGTGTGGGTGGTTCAGATGAAAGGCTTAAAGATTCAGTTGGTTCAGATGGAAGGCTTAATGATTTCGTTAATTCAGATGATTCAGTTTGAAGGCTTAAGAATGTGGCTGGCTCAGATGGTGGGTTAAGAGATGAGGTTTGATCAAAAAG